GCTGGTGAACCGGCTCAAGTCAGACAGCCAGGCAAACCATCTGTTCGCAATTTCTTCAGGAATGTCATCGTCCCAGGTAAGTTTCAACCGACAGAGATTTTGCACAATGATCTTAGCCATAAGGATGAACGGCGACAGGAAGCCAAGGGGGTCGTAAATTGAGCTTACGACTGATAGGATACCCCTTCTGGTGACAGGCATGTTCTTCACAAGAATGCGGAACTTGAAAGAATCTGATTCTATGCACCAGTCCACTCCAAGCGCCCTCTCCATGGGTAACTCATCCCTGTCTAGATCTAGATTCTTGATCTCCTTCGCACGCTCATGTTCGGGAAGTGATGACAATACTTCACGGCTGTTGCTAGACCATTTAGCCAAATGGAAACCTCCACTTTTGCAGAGTGCAATGAGGTCTTTGGTTAAGGAAATAGCCTTCTTCTTGTCAGACACTGAGACAAGGCAGTCATCTACATAAAAGTGCTCAAGAATCGTGGTTACTGCCTCAGGTGACGACCTATCTTTCCCATCCTCTGCAGTCCGGCGCAAGGCATAATTAGCACAGCTTGGACTAGACTTGGCCCCGAACAGGTGCACAACCATCTTGTACTCACGCAGAGGCTGGTTCAGATCTCCCTCTGGCCACCAGAGGATTCGCAAAAGATCAGAATCTTCGTCAGGGACTCTCACCTGGTGATACATTGCCTCTATGTCTGAAATGAGTGCAATGTAATCAAGGCGAAATCTTGTCAGGACTCCAACCAGACTGTTCGTGAGGTCCGGCCCCTGTAACAACTCCTCATTCAATGACTTCCCTTGGAAAGAAGAGGTGCAATCAAAGACGACTCTCAACTTACCCTTCTGCGGATGGATCACGCCATGATGGGGAATATACCATACTCGGCCATCATTGCGGTTGCGCTCATTGGCAGGGACTTCTACCGCATAGCCTTTGCTCAGCAGGTCTGACACGAAGGCTGTGTAGTCGTCATGAAAGCTGGAGTTCTTGGCAAGTTTCCTTTTCAGGCTCAATGCTCGTTGCTCAGCAACACTCTTGTTGTTCGGCATCACAATGTCTTTGTTTTTAAGAGGCATACCAATGCAGTAATGTCCATCGATTTTCTTGGTTGTTTGCGTCACACACTGCATGAATTTAATGTCTTCTCGTGACATTTCTGACTTCTCTTCGCAGGCTTGTTCCGGAAAATCATGATTGTACTGCTGCAACAGCATGTTTTCCACACTGCTGACTGACACTCTGTTGACTGAAACACCATGACTGAAATGACTTGGTGGTTTGAGTTCATTCTCTTTCTTCAGAGGGCCATTCACTACCCATCCAAGGGTTGTCTTTATGGCGTAAGGCCCGTCATTTTGACTGTGGATTATCTTCCACGGCTCCATTGCAGAGTAAGCATTCATTCCGATGAGCAACTCCACATCTGCATCGATCTGTGGTAACTGCACTTCCTTCTGCAGATACGGCCATCTTTCCAGGTCTTTCTCTACCGGAACGTTCTCCTTTGTTACAGGTATGTCTGTGTGGGTGTAAACATCTGGCAGGCTGATGTATGTGCTCTCTGTCAAACCGCACACCTCCAAATCTGAGAGGACAAAGCAGGACACAGGCTTTTCCTGGCCCATGGTACGTAGTAGCACTTGAGTCCTCTTGCCATTGACACCAAATCGCCTCATCAACCTTTCAGAGCAAAATGTTGCTGAACTTCCTGAGTCCATAAACGCGTACGTTTCCATGGTGTTGTTGCTCTTCTTGGATTTGATGCGCACCGGCACAATGGAAAGGATACTATCACTGCCTCCGGCCCCGGTGACAGCTGACAGTTCACCTTTGGATGACATTTGCTGTTGTGGGCTAGAGTGTTCACTAGTGAAGCCTTCACTTGACTTCTCAGGCTTGGCAGTCGTTTGGTTGCCATCTTCCTCTCTCTTCGTGTGGAGCAGTGTAGGATGTTTCTTAGTGCAAATTTCACATGTGGCTTTCTTTTTGCAATCTTTTCCCATGTGCCCTTGAGTCAGACACCCAAAACAAAGACCTTTTCCCTTAAGGAACTCAATTCTTTCTTTGTTCGGCAGACTTCTGATTTTGTTGCATGCACTCAGACCATGTCCCCTGTTGCAGAAAAGACATGGATCTTGAAATGCGTTGCTAGTCTGCTTAGTTCTTCTTGAGTCAGAAGACTGATCTGCTGGCATTACGCTTGTTGCTAGGCCAGTGGTTCTTTTCAGTCGACCCATAGCAGGTTTAGCGCTGAACTTAGACCTTTCTCTTGCCTCAGCAGGGTCTTTCACATCACCAAACAGTGGGTCTGAAGCTATCTTAGCTTGTCTGTTGATGTACTTTACAAGATCATCAAAGTCTGCTCTCCTTTTTTCTTTCTCTTGGATGTCGAAAGCTACAACTCTCCATCTTTCCCGAAGCCTGAAGGGCAACTTGTGGACAATGATTCGAAGGTTGCTTGGGCTGTTCATTTCCTGTAGATACTCCAAATTATTTATTACATTGTTGCACCCAGTCAGAAAAATTGAAAAGCTGTGGAGCGACTTAGCATCTTCTGCTTTGATTGGAGGCCATTTGACAGCCTTGTCAACGTAGGCTGCAGCTATTCTCTGTTCATTGCCATAGTGATAAGTCAAAAGCTTTCTTGCCTCCTCATACCCTTCTTGTGCACTCATGTGTTGGCAACTTCTCACCAATTCTCTCGGCTCACCTGTGGTGAATTGTTCTAAATAATACAGACGATCTGCGTCATTGTCTGTCCGACTGTGAATGATGTGCTCGAATGCTCTCAGGAACGGCAGGAACTCCAGAGGATCACCACTGAATTCAGGGACTTTGCGTTGAGGTAAATTGGCTAGTCTTTGTTGTGTGACTAACATCACAGTGATGTCCTTCTGTTTCAGGATCACCTCACCGAGTTCCATTTGCTTTGCACCAGGATGTACGCTGGCACCTGGACGTGTGGTTGCAACATCATCCTTTTCTTTCTTCACTTGCTCATGCGGTGTGTTCCTAGCTGGAACATGAGGCACACGGTTATCTGGGAGAGCTTGAAGACAGCTTGAAGATTTTGGTCTGACGTCTGGACCATGACGTGGGATGGTTGTAGCTGCATGCATGTTTTTGTTCAGGTATGAATGCATCCCATCTTCCATGTTATCATATTCTTCTAGAACCTGCAGCCTTGCTGTGGATTCTGCGAGAGCTGTCTCGAAATCTAATTTCTCCAATTGAGTTCTCATCTGAATTTTCTGATATTTCAGCTGTGCTGCAAGATGTGCTTCCTGTGCAGCAAGCTGTGCTTCTATTTGGGCCTCTTGCAACTGTAATGCTTCTTTCTTCTTAAGTGCATCTGCACGCACTAGTAAAGCTGCTCGACGAGCTTCCTCCTTCTTACGCATAGACGATGCATGAGATGATACGCTGGATCCCTTACTGCATACGCTTCGTACTAGGACTGAAGCCTGCTTCTGATGCACAGTGGACACACTATCATCTGGATGCACCTCTTCAGCAGCAAGCTCCGCAGCAGCAAACTCACTTTGCTGTGCCACAGCAACATCCACAGGAGCCTCATGCTCAGTGGCTGTCTTTTCAGGAGCAGCCCTTGGTTGCTGTTTTACTTGTATTATCCACTGCTCCAATATGGACAAAAAGTTTTCATACTTGGTGAGATTAGGCTCACTCCAATACTGCTGGTCAGCTTTTCTTTCTTCTTCTGACAACAGTTCGCTTACTGTGTTATTAACTTCAATAAACTCATTCAGCAATTTTGAGTATTCTCTCAAGTGATCCTTCTCTACTGTGTGTGCATTGAAATCATCTCTCATTAAATTATCAATTTCCTCTGCTTTGGAAACAAGGCGAGCTAAAACACGTTTTCTTAGAGACATTTGCTTATCAAGCTTCTCACTTATTGCCTTTGGAGTTAACTTGATCCTTCTTTTAGTTTCTAGCTCGACATTGTTCTCCATCTTGTTTCCACTCTTGGACACTTTGAACTGCTATTTATGTTAAATAAGCCTCAGCAAACTCTAGCACACTTCTGAAATCCAAATAAGCTTTCCTTTAATCTAAAAACATGTAGTTTTCCAAAGTAAGATTTAAGGCTTTATTTCCAGAGAAAGGCTTGAGTTTCTTCTAAGCTGATGTGACTTTTCTTTTCTTTCTTTTTTTTTTTTTTAAATAGCGTTTTTTTCAAACCATGTAAATGTCTTCTTAAAAAGCAGAGCAGCACACTTGAAACTTTGAGCAAAATGACTCATCCACGTTACTTGGCGTCGGCAAATACAGTTAAATATCATAAATTTTCAGTCATTACTTCCAAGTCCGACGCTTTGCTTATTTATTCATTTGTATCTGATATTTTTGTACTCATCCATCATCATTGAGGCCGTCTGGAAATCCTCTGGTGAGCACCGCCCTCTGCTGCTCCAAGCCGGCAGGCTTCCTTCATCAGCGAGCCCAACGCATGCGGCACTTTCCTCAGTTTCCCTCGGAACTTGTCTCGCCCTCGGCGACTGTTTTCTACTTAATATAGTGGCTAAATGTCCGTGCTTAAATGTTTCTTCTCATGAATGCAAATAACCACTCAGTCAGACGGAAAGAACGAGTCTACGCGTGTTGATATTTGAACGACGGTAGAAAACAGTGTGTTCGCCCCGTCTTTATTTCCAGTCAGAACAAAGCACACAAGTTTTTTTTTTTTCTCCAGAGACGCACAGCTCTGCAACGTCATCGCTCAACGTCAAATCCTATCAGCTATTATTCAAGATAATTCTAAGCATTAACAAATGCAAATTGAAACCAAAGGAAATTATGAAAATAGTAAAGCAGTAACTTATTTCTAATGCAATCAGAAATATTCTATAATATGCAAATACTGAACATATTCAAAAATAATAACTAAATATGAATGTAAATTACTAGATAGAAAATGGCACCAACAGTAATCATATTAAACTAACAGTCTCCCCATTTACAGGTTCTCAGAGTCCTGCTGCAACAGATGAGATGCTTTATTCAGAGACTGGATGAGAAACAATTCTGGATAACAATGCTGCAATGGAGAATGCAACCAAAATTAGTTTACACTGAAGCAAATGGAAACAACTCAGCAATCCACTGTAAAAAGCAGAACTTTTAAGTACTAAATATTGAAAGTCTCTCTCTCTCTCTCTCTCTCTCTCTCTCTCTCTCTCTCTCTCTCTCTCTCTCTCTCTCTCTCTCTCTATATATATATATATATATATATATATATATATATATATATATATATATATATATATATATATATATATATATATATATATATATATATAGTCATAAGATTCAAATCAAGAATTTTAAAGGGTAATTGTGTAGTTTTTGAAGTAGTCAGAATTTTTTTAGATTTCCTGTCACTTTATCCTGTTAATCACACAAGTGGATACTTAAATAAACCAAATTAGCACAGAAATGAAACTGAAATAATGCAAAAGATTATTTACCCTATTCTCTTATTTTTGTACTATTTTCATTTGACTCTCACATACTTTTTGTTTCTAAATGTATCAATATCAACTGTATGCCACCTGTTATGGAAGCAAATTCCCCTTAACAGTAAAATGCTACTTTGCTATAAAGCTATTTTTATTCTGAAAACAAGTGTGTAATAATGCAACTTAATTCTGTATCTGAATGATTTTATTTTTACTCTTTCTGTGATGTTACATCTTGTTAAGCATAACAATATTGACTAGCATGAGTATGATATTTGCTGGCATAACAAAACTGTCACAAAACCTTTGACAATAAAACAAAACAAAATCAAACCTCATTCAAGTCCGTGTTGTGTTTGTGGGTGGGTGTGTGTGTGTGTGTAATGTGTGGCCATGTCTTTAATACCTGGTGGGGACAATTTCCTAGGAATATGCTACATTTTGGGGACTCATAGGTACTTGTGGGGACCAACAACTGGTCACGGTTCTTATGTCTGACATTTACCAGTCCTAGATTATGGATATTTAATGGGGACATTAAAAAAAATCTCACTGTGGTCCAGTGTGGAAGGAGCTGTTACAGATTCCATACAGAAAAAACTTTAGCTCTGCCAACTGTTTTACTCAGGCTCTTTTAAGAGCCTATTAGACGTTTGTCTGACTAAAATAAAGATATAGGCGCTCAGGAAGCTCGCCCATAATTTGTTGTACATAAATTTAAACACGTTAGTGAAATTATGTTCACACTTTTCACTTAAACTATAGCAGTCATAGCAAACTAGGAAACAGCTGCCTTGTCTTGCTCAATGTGATATCAGGGTCTCTGTCGGAGCAGCCTTAATTCTGCACAATGATTTTGCCAGATAACATTGGCTGTTTAATTTTCATGTGTTCACTGCCTGAACACAAATGCAGAGTAAATAGTTAAATGTATAATTAAATGAGGTTATTCAAAAAAAAGATGTTAAACTTCTTTAATATAATATATCATGAATATTCAGTTTTTAATTTAAAGGTATAGAGGAGAATCTTTTATTTCCAGATGGATCATCTAAAAAAGTGGTCCTCCTAATTGTCAATTATGCTGTTGATATGTTTACATAAGGCGGTCCTATGGACTTGTCCCCAGTTAGCTATCTTTTTCTGCGTATGCGCACTTTCCGGCATATATAATTGGTGAGCTACGGTTTCAGACAGTCATTGAAGCTCAAATGGCCAAGGATTGTAAGAGAAAAAGTGTCTATGAGGTGTATGAGAAGAAAAGAAAAGCTTCAGAAGAGGCAGATATATCCTGGAAGACTTTTGGCAGAGAGCTCTCCTCTTAAAGCATTATGGGATTTGCTGTCACAGTGGTCCGCCATCGCCATAGGCTGTCGCTACTCGACAGTGGCGACTAATAGCAAAGATGACACAGACACCACACGGTGGAGGAGGAGTTACGTGACCAACGGGGAGCAAAAAGCAGTGATCATCTGTCCAAACGGTCAGTAAACTGAGTTCACTATAAAGTCCACTATATAGTACCCACTCTAAATAGTGATTGAGGGATTTAGGGGTTAGGGCGAACATGCAGACACAGTAAGCTTGTATGAGCTATGAGAACAGCAACCTTTAAAAAGAGAGTATGCGAGCAGAAATGGGCTCATGCATGCTCTTGCACGCGTTTAATAGGTGTTCCTTCTCAGCAGTGGGTACAGGGTTGTGCATGTGCATTTTTGTTTTTTTAAGTGGAGAGTGTTGGCCTTTTAAAAAAAAATATACATGTTTTTGACTCTTGTTGAATTTATTTAATTTAATTCATGATATAGTTGTTATGATTTGATGAGGACCCCAATGCAGAGGGACTGAGCAGCAAGATGTCTTGGTGGCTTTTTAATAAAGAATTCAAAAGCTCTTTCAAAAACTGCAGAGGATGCAGGAGCCAGGCAAATTAAAACATAAATGTAAACAGAAGATGCACACCACTGGGAGGAACACATGCTAGGGTATAGGAAACACACAATAGGAACTAGAAATCAGTGGAAGAATGAGATGGGCTTCAATATTGGCAAAGAGAATGCTGAACAATGACTGGATTAATGAGCTAACTGAAAGCAGATGTGCTGATAAGGAACTGGAAGGAAACTGAGGGGTAAAGGATAGTTGCACTAAGGTACAATGAGGGCATGGGGGGTGGGGGGTGGCTGGAGGTAAGTATAATGCCTTGGGAAACATATTCTAAAGAAAACCATAAACAATGAATGATGAGAAACTTTAGCAAGGACTAAATAAATCACACTTACTAAATAAAAGATGACTGAAAAAAATTACCAAGGAGGAGTAAAACTAAGGAGTAATTCCAAACAAGATCATTCTTAACAGTAGAGCAGTAGAGCAGAATAACATAAATCTAGGAGTAACGAAAAAACCCAAATTAAACACTTGATCAATAATCCAGATAAGGGAGAAAATTAGTTTCAACCCAGGATGCTAAAATAACACATAGAATAACATAAACTAACAATAGGCCAAAGAAAAAAACAAAACCACAGCCTTGCAGACCATGAAAACATTTATCTATTTAATTCAGTTCAGTTTAACCCCTAAAAGTAGACATACAAAATTTTTGTTTCAGTAAAATTAATGTTTAAAACCAAGAGTCAGGTGTGTTGTTGCAAAGGCAACAAGCATTTCAGTAACCTGTCAGCCAAGGTGGTTTTTCTGCTTTTCTTACCTATTGACACAGAGGAAGAGTCTCAAATTTCAGTCTTAAAACTCTGGCTTTTAGATCTCACTAAAATATACCATTAAAACATTTTATTTTATAGGATTGTTATGATTTTAAAAGAATGTTTGAATGATAAAACAACAATTAAATGTTTTTATGTGTATATTTTTTTTTTATGTTTTTTTTTTTCTTATGTTTCCTTCAGAATTTCTGAGGGTCCTTCGGTGTCCCCCAGCAGGCCCCATTAAGAAAAAAAAATCCTGGGCTACAAACTCTCTTGTATAATCAGTTCTATAGAGCCAGAAGAGTCTACATATTTAAAAAACTCGCATATGTGATCCACATCTGCACATGATGATTCAAGAACAGGAAACCAAGATATATACAAATTCACAAGGCCAGATTCACCAGATTATTTGCATACACACTTCTTGATTTAAAAACCACCACTGGTCTGGTTAAACTTCACTGCATTTGTGTGGGGATTTTTGAAGCTCCCCTGAAGTGACTCTATGCACAAATGCATTTGGCTTTAACAAGCTATGATTTCAAACCAATAAGATAACTCCATTGTTTCAGCAAATCACAGGAACATACAGCACATGGGTGATGATTTCGTTATAAACCAATTACCTGAGGAGTGGGACTCCACTGCAGCAAATAGAAAAAGGTGGAAACTGAACATATGGTGGACCTAAACAATATTTTGAAATGGCAACTTTACACTCCAGAAATGAAGGGAGGGCCTATACCAGATGTCTTTTGTCATTTTGTGTGTTTAATTGTTCCTATTCAAAAATATTTTGTGGTTATGGTTGTTCAATCATTACAATAATAGGAAACATATCCATTGTATTTCATGTTTTTCAAAGATTATGCTGTATTTTCTACACACTTCAGAGGGTGCCAGAGTGGGAATTGAGTGGACCAGACATCAGCATGCAGAGATGGGGACTCGAGTCTGGGACTCATTTTTGATTCGCACTAAAGTTGCATATTAAATTACTTCAGACTCGACTTAGACTTGAATTTGAAGGACTTCAGACTCAACTTGGACTCACAATATCAGACTTGTGTACAATCTTTTATTTTTAAATGTTTTCATTTTTGTTTTCCTAGTTTGACTGTCTGATCACAGCTATGCTTCTTTTCTTACCAGCACATAGTAGAGGCAGAATAACTGCAGAGGGGCTGTCAGGTACCATGTGATTCAGCTTCAATAGGAAAGAAAATACAAAATACCTGGTCCACCACATCTATCTTTATCTACCACCTTGGACTTGGATTTATTTTTTCCCCTTTTGGAACAGATCCCAATTTAAGGATCTCTTGGACTTGTGAAGGACGGAAAGTATAAAACCTTTCAATTAATTGTCATTGCTCATTGTTTATTTTATGTTGTCCTCATCTGACTGCTAATATTGTTTTCATTTCTTTTGAATATTAATATATTTTCAGTTTAAGCTTTAAGTTTGGTGTTGGTCTTCATTCACCTGCCAGGTATGAAGACCAGATGACAACAAAATAAATATAGATCAGTATGCCATGACTATGTTAGCCTGCATCAACAAATGCATTGAAGACATCCGCATCACAAAGAGCCTCACCATCTGAGTGAACCAACGACCCTGAATGAATGGGGAGGACCTGAAAACCCTAAAAGCACAGCACTCAGCTTTCAAATCTGGTGATAAAGAGGCACCGAGGACAGCGCATGCCAACTTGAACGGTGCCATCAGATCACTGATGGCATTAAAGACATTTTATTCCAGCGCTACGTGTACCTAGCCCATAACATCATCAGCAACGTCTCATATAACCACCCTGGACTGTTCTCCCTGTTGCCCTGTGGGAAGAGGCTTCACAGCAGTGGTGGATCTAGGGGGTGGCTACTTTGGCTGCAGTTCCGGATGTTTCCCCAAGAGCCCTGGATATCGCTTCTGAGCTGATCTGAGTAAAATGTGCAGTACTGCATTTCACCGGAGAGGGGGCAGCATGTGCAGGAACACAGCCTGTAGCATTCCCCTGCATAAGAAGAAGTTGTCACCACTAGCTGTTGCTAAACAAACTGTCGTCCCAGGGGATGTGAAGCTCTGACTGACTTCCAGATGTTCTTTGTCCCGGTGTTGTATGAAATTCTGCTTTCCTTGTGTCAGGAGCGTGCATTGAAGCCAGAGAGGCGGACATGGCGGATGGGACCATTTTCACTGCGCTTCTGATCGATTTACCAGAAAGTCTACTCTCTCATCTTCACCCTCAGGGCTAAGACCCTGATCTCCTAGAATCCTAGATCCTCCCCTGCTTTACAACATTCGATGTAGGTCCAGCAGGTTCTACAGCAGCTTTTTCCTGCCTTAAAACTGTTAAACTGTTGAAACACCTGCACATGCGGTGCAGGTGTGTGTTTTGTCTTTAGAAGAAAACGCCACAGAGCAGAGTCAGGATGCAGCGGCTCCCCAGAACAGCAGTGAAATACTGTACTGTACATGTCAGTCACTATTTGTCCTACAGTACTTTGTATTTCTTTTCATAATCATTTTTCATGTTCTCCCGTTCCAATCCGTCATGGTGGGGTGCTGCTGATCCCCGCAATATTAACTCTTCAGTTCGTATTGATGATTAAAATTATTACTTATTTATTTATAACTATATTATTTTACAGTACAGTACAGTAGTTATTTGTATAAAAAAAAAAAAGAAAACAGCAACGTCTATACCGTACTTTTATTTGTTTAACAAATGCTTGGGCCTGTAAAAAGTTTTTGTTCCTTGATTTCAATGTTGTATGGAGTATTCCATTGTATAATAACTTTAAAAAAATAAAGGTTTCTACTTCACGGATTTCACCTATCGCGGGTTCTTTTAGGAACGTAACCCCCACGATAAACGAGGGTCTACTGTAATAATATTTTTATTGCTTTGCGCCCTGTATCGCCGTTTCCCGCTACGGCTCCTTGTCTCTATCACATTTGCCACTCTGATGATCCATCCAGTGCTGGTGGAGCCTCCTTGAGGAACAGCAAGCGAGCGGACGGTTCTATTTCAGCTCAAGCAGCGCATCAAAAATGACAGCCTTCCAGCACTGGAAATTTAAGGAGCATTTAATTTACATCTGTGAAAATGGCTCAAATTTAACCGTGCAGTGCATGAAGTGTTTGCCGGCTATCAACCTGAACCTGCTTGTGTTAGTCTGCAAACTGCGTAAATGGTAGAGCCTGGGGTAGGAACAGGAAAGAGTATGGCCCGATGAGAGGAGTCTGAGAAAATCTTCCATGCCTGGTGCTGGCATCTCTTCTTGTGGACATCCTGTGATTGCCTGTCAGCAGTTCCCTCTCAGCTTAGTGTTTTTTTAAGGTTCACATTGAGTTCTCCAAAATTAAATGTTGAACATGGGTCAATATTCATTAAAACCTTAAAGTAATCAAAAAGTAATCAAAAGTAATTAGTTACATTACTTTTTTTAAAGTAATTGAAAAAGTTACACTACAATTACATTTTAAACAAGGTAACTTGTAACTGTAACGGATTACATTTTTAAAGTAACTTACCCAACACTGATTACACCACACCATTACATTTCATGTAAACCCAAATAGGGTGTAGAATTAAAATAGGTTAACTTCATAGTATAACCATGATCCTCTACTAGTCAGAGTAAATGCATAATGTGTGGTCCCACAAGGTTTTTGAAATGTCAGCCCATTTAGGTTATCACCACAAACTACAATAACCATCAACACACAAGAGTGTTGAACAGATTGATCAAGATTTAAAGGGCGAATACTTAAAACTACACTATAAAACTATAACTTATGTCACATAAAAAGTATTTTCTAGAAATCTAAATAAAGTCCTAAGTTATTTTCAAACCTTTTCCTTTACTTTGATTACTAACTTGTCATCATGACCATACACACAGACCATTGCTCCTGAATTGATACCACCATGCACTGTTTTCCCTGTATAATTCGGTACTACTATTTTAGTATCACACACTTCACTAACGTTTAAGGTCTCTTGACAGAACAGGAAGTACAAGAATATTGAGCAACTGAGGAGGTAAAAGTTGCATTAGTTCTGTGAAAAAAGGAAGAAAATACGCAAGCTGCTAAAAAGCAGAAGGCTTTTTGGAACTGCTCTTTTGTCTTCATTGTCTTTTCAGCTTAAAGAAGTTAGGATTAAAGTTGGGCACCAGATAGAGTTGTGAGGATGGGACACTCTCGGATTTTCCTATTATTGTGTAAGTGAATGTATACCTTTGAAAATAGAGAGACAAAAAATACACTTTTCTAAATAAAGCTGCATCTGCTCTGTTTAAAAAAAGATATATTACGAGTAGCCTGATAAGTATCATTTTAGAATTTTTTAAAGGGCAGTTTGTCTTTAATTTAAAAAAATGTAATTCTTCTCAACTCTTTTTCTCACTTTTTCTTAAATATCTCTTTAATGTAGTATTTATCTCAGTCATAAGTGGATACGCTGATGGTAAGACATATTTCTTTGCTTATATTTTTCGCAAAATTTGTTGTTTAAAATGTATGTAATTGTTTTTAGCCTCTCTTGATACATTGTTAGTGAAAATGATAAAGCCTCCTGCTCTGTAGAGCAGTTATTCATAACTAAACCAAGGAGTGGATTTTAAAAAGCCTAAGCTGTCTTCACGCAGTCAGCGGTTTATCTTTTTACCCCATATGATAATGTTTTAGATGGTAGGTGTCACCATGAAAAGTAAAATTATATAATTCAAACATTGGTCCAGTAAATTGGTAGGCATGATTTATTTCAATATCTCTTGGCTTACTTATGCATAAAAAAAAATGGGGGAAGTCTACCTTTTAGTTGGGGTTCTATAACACATGCACATAGCAGTGATGGACAGTCCATTGTAATGAGTTGAAAAGTTTGCAGTAATGTGTAATAATGTCCATGCATATAGAGCAAATCGATAGTAAAACAAACAGGAAGTATTCTCTATGGGAAATCTGGCTCATTGTGAGCATCTGTCTCTTGTGACCAACCAGGGGCTTGAGAAAAGAACAACACAGAAATACTCTAGTTTAACTTTTTCCAATAGTGTTTTCATTATAAAGAGAAAGTAAAGAGTTAACAGCAGCAAAAACTACAGATAATGCGCAATGGGTATAATGGGAGAAAATGGTAAAAACAAATTGGTCATTATACCCCTCAGCATAGCACATAACTACTTGTATAGCTATAGGCCAGTCTAATTGTATGTTTTATCAAACATCTGGTTGTATGTCTAGAAAAAAATCTGTCGCACTAATTAATAACTGGCATTTTAACACATTTTAGTTTTATGCATTTTTCCTTCACCTGCAGACGTTTAGAAAAAAATTTAAAATCAAGCTGAGGTGGGTAGAGTACCCAAAAATGGTACTCCAGTAAGAGTAGCACTACAAGTAGAAGTAAAAAGTAGTCATCCAAGAAATTACTCAAAAGTAAAAAAAAAAAAAGTATTTGGTAAAAAGGCTACTTGAGTTCTGAGTAACTGTTGGAGAATAACATCAGATTTAATGTTTAGAAATGATGCTGGCATTTTATGTGCAGGTTCTGGCATTTTGAAGACTCAAATATCTAAAGAATAAAAAATAAAACTAATGAATATACAGTAACAAATTCTTGCAGAAGCAGTTAGAACTTAGAAAACCAATCCTTTCAATGCAAATATACTGTACTAGGATAAGGTAAAAAAATTCCACTTTTAATATCTACAGTTAACTGCATGTTTACCTGATCTTGGAATAGTTCAAATTACTCACGGGAGGACAGAGAGACTTTACTCAAGCATGAGTAGCGACACTTTACAAGAATATTACTCAGGTAAAAGTAAGAAGTAAGTAAAACTACTCCTAAAATAAAAGTGTTTTCAAATTGTTACTCAAGTAAATCTATCTGAGTAAATGTAACTAATTACTATCTACCTCTGCTGTCAAAATCTAGGACTAAAATTGTAAATAATGATGTAATAGTTGTGTCAATAATTGACCAACTTTCTGGTTAACTGTAAATCAAGTTGTAATCTACAGTATTCAGGAAAAAAAAAAAAAGAAACAGAGTTGAGTTTAGTGTTGGCCTGGGACCTCTCTGTAGGTGGCTACCAAATGAAGTTCTGTTTAGGGGTTTGTAGATCCTTAGGCCTTGCTCTGTACATCAAAATACATTTTATTTCAATTTTATGTTTCTGCTGAACCACAGTAAAACCTATATGTTGTTTATGTGAACAGTTCCCATTAAACCCACTGTGATCCTGAACCCAGACCGGCCTCTTGTATACAAAGGTGAAAGTGTGATCCTCCAATGTGAGATCCATGCAAGTGGAGGATCTGAGTGGACATATGAATGGAGACCAAGCAGGTTAAATAAACCTTCAACAACGAGGCAATTCATTTATCTAAAATTATTTAATGAGTCTTATAGTGGAGAATACAGCTGCAGAGGAGTAAGTGCTCACAGCAGCACAGACTGGAGTGATGCTATTACATTAACTGTATGTAAGTTGGCCATTTTCTTTTATTACAATGTATGTTGTTTTATGTGTTTTATACAAATATGTTTTTTTCTGACAATATTACGTAAAACCTTAATTTATCAGTGTTTGTCTTTTAGATAGTCCTGGTGTCGTAACTATGAAGTATTAGTTTGTTTAGTTAATACATGTATAATTAATTGGATTTTTGAAAAAAACAGTTTTTCATTGCACAAAGTTTTAAAAGATGTTTGGGTTCGCAGCCAGAGGTTTTTTTGTTTGTTTATTTGCTTTTTGAACTGAGGTCTGTTTTAGTTTTAAATGTATTTACATACTGTTTTTTTTTTTTTTTTTTTTTTGTATTTTTCTTTTTGCTGATATTTAAAATGTTTGAGAAAATAAAATTTACATTCCAACTTTAGAATTGCAGAAACTTTGCCCAAAATATAAAGGAGATCTCAGAATCTTTTAACATGCTTTTACGTATATTAAAACTGTCTGGGTATAATTTGAGAGCTCCGCTTACACCGTCTCTGACTATGTTTCTTTAAACTGAAGAATTAACCTAACTTGCCTGTTTGAATAGTAGGTTTTGCACTGGTCAGACTAATCAAATTTAATGACAGACACTTCCTCCAACAGATAAACTCTCTGTGTCTATATCATGGGTGAATCCCGGAGACTCTGTGACTCTGAGCTGTGAGGTTGAACATCCACCTACAGGAACAAAGTTCTTCTGGTATAAAGCTGTCCCCAAACTATCAGCACACTTCTACACCTATGAGCTGCTGCCTGGCAGCTCCAATGGGACTGATGATAATTTCTACATTATCCATGGACAGAATAACACAACAGGATATGTGTGTGAAGCAGGAAGAAGAGAAGTAAAATATAGACATCCAACTTTTGTCTGGTCTGCAGGTTAGTTTTCTCAGTGTCACCTCTAAGCAAGAAGAAAATTAATGGAAATAAATTCAATAAAACTAAAGAAATTATTATGTAATGTCAGTGGGTTCATTGTCAACACAGAAAAGAAACATAGTGTTTATTGCAAGATTTTTTTTAAATAGGAAATTAAAAACAGCTCTAAGAAAACAGATTAAAAAGAAAGGTTTCTCTAAGAACAAAAGGATTATGGTATAGATGGAGGATAATGTATGGAGGACAAGTCCTGCCATAGTAAAAAAAATAGATACAGAAATAATTGAAATACTTATTTTTTTTTTTATAATAAGATAATTTTAGTTTTGTTTCATACTGATTTATAATGACTGCAGTTTTTCCATTTTCCAAACAAACAAAAGACATTGTTTAAGTTTTTGCTGAAGCTATGTTTGGGTAATTTGCGGCCATGTTAATATTAAACTTAACTCTCATGGAAGAAAAAAAAGTAATATATGATTTATTTTTATCATGTATTAAGCTTTGCTCTGTGCTTAGATGAAATGTCTTATTTATTTTCAGATCGTCATCCAACAGCGTCTCTCTCAGTGAGTCCTGACAGAGTTCAACACTTCAGATCTGACTCTGTGTCTCTAAGATGTGAGGGAAACTCTGCTGAATGGAGAGTGAGGAGGATTACAGAAACAGGCCACGTGTTAGAGTGCTCCGTCATGAATGGATCCTCATGTACCATGAAGGGGATCTTTTGTTATGATGGAGTGTACTGGTGTGAGTCTGAAACAGGAGAGTTCAGCAATGCTGTTAACATCACTGTACAGTGTAAGTAGTGATGTATAAAAGTCCTTTTGTATTGCAATAATTTCATACTGTACAGAATTGAGTTTCAAATGCCCCTTAGGTTTTAAAGTTACATAATACATTCTCTTCAATAAAAAAAATACCCTTTAACTTTTAACCTAGCTAAATTTTAAAAATGTTAAAAAATGAACATGCAAGATTGGTTATACGTCACCGTAAAAAAAAAAAATATCATATCTAAAATCCAATATTCACTCAATGTCTTGAAGATTTTCCTTATGACAATCCTATCCTGGTGAGCCCCGTCCATCCTGTGACTGAGGGAGATCCTGTTACTCTGAGCTGCAGAGATAAAGAACAAAAACTTCTCTCCAATGTGTTTTTCTATCACAATAACAAACTGATCCACAATGACGGCAGAGAGGAGCTGAAGATCTCTGCAGTGTCAAAGTCAGATGAAGGTTTCTACAAGTGTGAACATTCAGGAAAGGAGTCACCACAGAGCTGGATGGCTGTTAGAGGTGAGAGGAAGAAAACATTTTATCATTCAATTAATATGAACAGTGAGAAATTTAAGTAAATGTCCTGCAGATTTTTTTCAAAGTTAAAAACTAAAATGACAATTTACTCATACAATTAAAACCCTTTCCTTTTTTACTTAATATCTATTTATTCTCCATCTATCTATCTAGCAAATGTTTCCACTCCGGTCAGCTCTTTCTTCCAGACATGGGCAATGTGGAGTCAACAAGTCATCTCCATGTCATGTATTTAATCTACCCAGCCAATTAACCAGGTGAGTCCAATCTGCACAGGTTAATTCACGGTGAAGATTGGACTCACCTGCTTCAGTGGCTGGGTAGAACAAATACATGACATGAAGATGACTTGTTGACTCCACATTGCCCATGTCTGCTTTCTTCCATGTGCTGCTGATCATTGGATCAGTTATTGGACCAGTTATTCTTCTCATTATTCTCCTGCTATTATTGTGGCGCTGCAGATGCTCAAAAGGTGAGACCATTTTCATCTTAAATTGATTGTTTATTTAAAACCCTTTAAATCATTTGGCACATGGATGCATTCTGATGTTTATATCTTGGATCATGCTACCAGGATATAAAATTTGATTATTGTTATTTCCTGTATTTATTTAATGGAGGGTCATCTTGCTGATGAATGCTTAGGAAGGGAAAACTTAGCATTCGGTTATAGTGTTTCAGGTTTTATATTTTCCTTAGGACACTTAGGAACCCCAGTTCAAACCTGGAACAAAGATGAAGTAACTAGAACTGGGGTTGTTTTTAATTGATAAATAATTCAAAATCAAGGCTAAAACCAATTTAATCCGCTTACTTACCAGGATTGGCCTGTCACATTCCGGGTGGCTTCTGGAACAGCCGTTAAAATTCAGTTATCCCCACCAATATAGTGACTTAGGCTAGGCTATCAGCTATTAATTACCAACCAAAGAAATTTTGTCTCTATGTATTCAAATTTAACCAAAAGGATGGTGAATCTGGCCCTGAGTGATAAACCACTCGCTGTACAACAAACACAAACTACTACAGGTTAGAATATTATTGTCTTAATTTTTATCAATCCAGAATTATAAGGAAGCTGACATCTATGCAAACACTACACACTACTAGAAAAATACACATGAGGTTGACTACATGAATAATTAAAGAGTGGATTTAAATGGCTCCTGGGGAGTGTCCAAGGAAGGCCAAATCGCAATACATTCGATAATGTCCATTCAAACTTATCGGCAGATATAGTGAGCAATAATAGGTGCTGTTAAAAACAACACAAATTCATTTAGCTGAAAAGGGTTAATGTTTACAAATGTATTAATACAGCATTGTAGAAGGTCCGCAAAAGTACATTCATCTAACCTCTTTGGGGGGCCTTGCTACAATAGGAAGTCATAATACAAAATGGCGAACCCCTACCATGCAGTCAAATAAGGTGAAGCAACAAACTAGAAAAATACTGTAGGTTGTGAATCTCAAAAAATGGTGCATCTTATCATGTGTCCAAAAGGGAAAGGTTGGTTAGGCCTAAGGTCCTACAAACAACTCAGAAAAAGGCTGCCCCTAGCATGTGGTTGCACACAGTTTTAAAGGTGAACAAAACTCTCAGTTACTCTAAAACAACAACCTCAGGACAAAAGGAAATCAAGATATAAAGATGAAAGAAACACATAAACTCAGTCACAGCCAGTCACACCACATTCATTCACACCATGAAACCAGGGTTTAGAACCCTTTTTAAATAAACAAAATGAACCATATGAAAGTCAAAAGACCTGACTTAACTACACTCGCCAAGCTAAGCACCTTATTTTTGCATCAGATGGAATAATGGGAAGGTTTTGTTGTGAGTTTACTTGCAGGTCCTGGTTGAGGAAAGGGGTGGGTGGGGTGGGTAGCTTCAAATATTGGCTCAGTTCAGTCCAAAACTGTGTGGGCTCTTGGAGAGATTTAGATTGGCCTAATGCAAACAACAAGGAAATTTGATGGGCTTAAATCAATGAAGTTAACTTACAACCCACTATGGAGGCGTCCGTACACATTACACAATAACACGCTGTGATGCTGCCTCCTCAAAGGAGAGATTCTGTGCAATGGCGTAGAACAGCTGCTTATAAGGTGGAGGCTTCTGCTTTCTCACCAGCAGTGAAACTAGTAGGTGCGACAATACACTGATCATTAGCACTGACGGCAGGATAAAGGAAGAAGCTATGGCCAGCTAGCTTTCAGAAAGATTCACGTGGAACTTGTCTCTTAGGAAAGGAGCTGATCGGGTCCATTGGGTCCAGCTCATCGTTTTTAAAGGTTTATGACAGTCGGATTGTCTTGCTGGCATCACAGCTTTTCCTTCAGTTCATTTGTCTCACAGTTGTGACATCTGGGGGTTTGGTCTGTTCGCAGTTGCGCAATCTGAGCTGGTTGTATCTTTTCAGCAGGAGCTACAGCAGCACTGCATTCAGGGGACCTGCTTATCCCAGTCACAAAAGGGGGGTTATTGGTGATCAGTTTAAACATAGAAAGAGATCAGTGCAATCTGGATCAAGACTGAGAAACATGGGTGGACTGGGTATAGGTAGTCTATCAGGTATAATAAGTCTATTGTATTATTATAGATGTGGTTGTTTGGCCTAGCTCTCAGTCCCAAATACAGATACTGACTTAATCTATGACAATAATCATGACGTTTCTGATTTTGTTTTATGTCGCCACTCTGCCAAGGAGTACAGTTAAAAATGTCTCTATTAGACTAAATCTGGTATTTACATTGATAGAACCTAAACAACTGTGTTCAGGGGCGTGCACACATAGACACTAGGTGGTGCTAAAGCACTAGGAAGTTTGCCCTCTATCAAAGAAAATGCCCTTTTGAAACTAGTTTTTTTTTATTTATTATTATTAATATTATTAAGATTTTACTGAGGTCGGTTTTGAAATGATCTTTTGAAAACCTGAGCCATTAAAAACGACTGAAACAATGCCCCGAAATGACCGACCTACTTGCGCAAAAACGACCAGCCTCTCTCTCTTCCTTTGTCACGTGAACTCGCTCGGTCGCCCGCAGGGCATGCCAGATGCGCAGCATCATAGCAGTTTTCAGATAGCAGGAACGGTCGCTGACAGGCTGCTTCTCCCGTGCCCCATTAGCCAGGTAATATACAGATCAAGCAGAATCATTTTGTTGGGCATTAAAATGTCTCATTCAGCAGCACCAAACACGCATTTTGCCGACTGGTCACCAGATAAACTAGTTGTCTCCTTGTAAGATGCTATTTTACTTTTTATATTTTGTATCCATATTTTTTATCTTAAGTGTATACATTAGTCTATTTTATTGCATGACGTATACCCACAGTTTTTAGATATTTTTATAATTTTATTTACCTATTCCATATTATATGTTTCATGTTGCACGATTGTACCATAAAAAGTTCCTAGTTTGTGAACTCACAATGGCAATAAACCTGATTCTGAAAGTTTTACACTTTAGCCCAAGTCAGTGACAGATAACGTGAGGACGACCACATAGGCTACAAAGAATTTTGGTAGAGTTTGCAATTGCAAATCTACGGAAGAGGATTAGGGCCACTGAAAAAAAAAATAAGTTAACTGATTTTTAAATTTTATTTCAGTTTAGTATGGGAAAAAAGTCAGAATGCTGACTTTAATCTCATAATTCTAACTTTTTCTCATAATTCTGACTTTTTGCTGAGAATTCTGACTTTTTGCTCAGTATTCTGACTTTAATCTCAGAATTCTGACAATAAAAAAGTCAGAATTCTGACTTTTTTCCCCATGTTAAACTGAAATAAAATTTAAAAATCAGTTAACTTTTTTTTTTTTCAGTGGCCCTAATCCTCTTCTGTACAAATCTATGTGTTAAGACAAACGTTTTCTGTTGTATAGGTTTTGTTAGGCAACATAAATTAACACATTTTGGTCTCTTTATTGTCTTAATTGTATATTGATTTAGTAATTGCAGCACAATGCCAAGAAAGGAGGGTTAATCATATTGAAAAATCTTAAAAGCTGTTCACATTTTATTTTTAAGTGGTTTGTGCAGCAGGTATTAAAATAGCTATTATTTTGTAGGCTACCATAAGTCATATCCACGTGACAAGACTTCCAGTCATGTTGCCCTAATAGCCCATTATTTAAACTAATGTGGCATATTTGTTAAAGCTATTATTATTATTATTATTATTATTATTATTATTATCATCATTATTATTATTATTATTATTGTCATGATGGTTATTATTAATATATTGTAGCCAGTCACAGCAGGGAAGCTCTATACCATCAACATATAACAGGACAGGAGATGAGGAAGAGTTCAGGGAAGACACAGAGACAGAAAAAGACCAGGATGAGGGAGAACAGATGGGTGAGGGAAAACAGGGAGATGAGCCAGATGAAAGAAGTATGCTTTAGTCTGTTCTGTTGGTGATGTGACTTTTTTCCATTGAAAACTCACGTTTAGAGAATGTTACAAATAAAAGTCAAATTTCATTCAACATGCGTTTATTTTTTTTTATAATTAAGTGTTACACGTGCGCTAAAAAGTGCCCTCCCCCCCCTCCTGAGCACCTGCCCCCCAAAATGTCTGTGCACGCCTCTGACTGTGTTGATAACATACATTGGTGCTGTTTTTAGATTAATCAAGAAACAAAACAATGGTGTGAATATGGTTTTTTTTTCCTGAGAGAAATGTATAATCTATCAGGTTAGCCTGATATAATTCAATGTCTGTTAAACTCTTAATGTTCAACCTGTCATTACTTTTATTGCATTTGCAATGTTTCACATTGAAATATTTAGAGGGCCACAATCAAACCTTAAACCCAAATTATGGACTCAACTTGCACTAAAAAGCATGAATACAGACAGGGCTTTGTTGTTTTGTTAGATTGTTTTATTATTATTATTATTATTATTTATAACAAATCAATACATTGTACTCTGTTTCTTAAAAGAAAAGTTCTGGTCAAACATCAGACCAGAGTTAACCTAGTTTATCTAGTTTCAATGTAACCTGCTGAAGACATATAAGCAAACATTTATACATTTGTGTTTAAATTATCTGTTTCGAATGAGGAAAGAATCTAATCAATTCCATTTTTACTCTCAGATCTTTTTTTTCTAAATTAGCAATGAAGTTCATTAATTTTCTTTTACTTTTCCCCTCCTTTCCTGTAGCACCAGGTAATTCTGGTCCCTCTGACTCAGCCAAATCCCCTGATTACACTGGACATGGTGAGGCATATCTTTTTCTAAGTATCTAGCAGTGCAATATTTGATTGATTGAATAAGTCTGATCATCAGTAACTGATCTAAAATCCTCAAATATTTCAGCTGCAGATGATTCCACAGATGTTACATATTGTCTCGTTGAATTGAAAAACAATGACAAAAAGAGTAAGATTCAAACACATTCAATGAGCAAGCTGAGAAAATAACTATTTGTTCTTAAGATTCATGTCTTTATTTTGCTAATTTTGTATGATGTTTACAGGTAGGCCTCATAACCCAGGGGACTGTACTGTTTACTCTCAAGTGAAAACAGAAGCAACAGGTACAGTCTTTCTCATTTCATTACCATGTCAGTTCTTTAAAGGTCAACACAATGTTACAATCGTAGGATAACATCTTTTCTCATAAACCATCATAAGCTGATTGTTCAGACACAAAGTGGTTTGTGTATAAAATCTATGCCTTTTGGTCTGTTTTAACCAAAGGCCTCTTATTGTCTCTGTTGATGTAGATTGTAATCCAAAACAAATACACTGTAAGGGAATATTTTTGGTTTTACAAATTTTTTTTCTCATAAAGAAAAAAACAAAAGCATAATTGGATTAAGATTTAATGTGTCTGCCAGAATACTAAATCCAGAAATCTGTTTAAAACTAGTTACGGGCAATATAAATGTTTGCCGGGATGTGTTTCTGTTTTGAATTTACCCCAGTCTTTCAATTATCGGGCATTGTACCAATTTGCCAAAATACCTCAGAGATTTTTGCTTGCAAGTTTGAACTAACTATTAAATGTGTTGAATATAGATACAACACTACCCACCATTGTTAAAGGTTTGATTAATCTTTTCCAAAAAAAGTTAAAGAACAATCCACTGGACTTTATTTCCAAGTTTGAAGACGTTTCACTTCTCTGAAAGGGGGATCGTTGGGGGAATTGTTGGTCTGGCTGAACTGACAATACATTCTGATCCCCTGTATGGGGGTTGCGATGATATTGATTCCTTCTCGCTATTATTGCAACCCCCACCCCCAACAATTTTTCCCTAACGACCCCCCTATTCAGCGACATAGAGAGGTAGGGGGTATTGCAGGCTAATTAAGAACCCAAACGACTGCCCATTCCTAAGCGGCAGACCTGTTTGTCCAGTTGAAGTTGCATGTTTTCTAAGCAAAAACCAGGTTTTGTTTTTGGTCTACTCTATAAAGCCTCGAACTCAACGCTATTTCTGACATTTTTAATTAAAAAAGCTTCCTGGATGGGAAGGGATACATCTTCAAACTTGGAAACAAAGTCAAGTGGATTGTTTTTTAACTTTATTGGGATGACTATGACCTGTATGACTGAGAATCTTCTGCAGCATTTGATTAGTCTGTTTGCATGTATTAAGGATTACAGATGCATTTCCTTCTTCCATCAAATATGTAAATTTCTGTCAATTTCTGTCAGCATTATATTTTGCATATTTAATAGAGAAATAAACATAAATCGACTGAGCCTGATATTATGTTCATGTCACAAAAGCAAATCAGTTTGCATTTTACCGATCAGCTTTGTGTGTGCAATCAGATTTGCTCTGTTTTTATACAAACAAACCATTTAAAGGCCCAAAAGTGTAAAACAGTTTAAATAAGTTTTTACTCAAGCTTATCATAACATAACAATCCTTTGCCAGGCCCTTGCCTAGTTGAAATTATTGATTAAAACTGAGACGGGCAAATAAATAAAAGTAAAAATGAGGTAGATAAAGGTGACACTTATATTTATTTCTTCATTATAATTTTTTTCTTAATTGTCCTCATGGTGATGTGGTTTATGTCTTTAATTGGAATGTGGGGAACCTAGGTGATGGCAAGAGGATCCAGTGTAAAAAGCTCTAAGCAAGTGATTAACTAAACAACAATAGGCCCGTAAGCAACATTATCTGGGGGGGCCCCATATGAAGTACAACACATGATATAGGTTCACAATATGGCGACGGTTCCATAAATTGGCCGAGAAGATACAATAATGCAATTGTCAGTAAAACATGATTACACATCATACACTCAAAAATAGTGACTGTGCCCCTTGAGTGGAATCAGTGGTGACAGCGCACCACCAAATGTTACAGACATCCTAAGTACAAAAAATTAAATTCAGGGAGATGCTTATCAACACAGCCCGAAACGTGCCCCATACATACACACTTCGTCCTTCTTCACCTTCACCTGACATGGATATACTTTAATTTATTATCACAACAAGCCATGGGGCTAACTTGAGCTTCACAGCTCCCCTCCTAACCCACGCTCTCTCCATTCATCTCCTGATCTCAATCTTAACTCACTGTAGCGGCAGCAACGTCCACCTCTCCTCGTTTTTTGGGGGGGAAGTTTTTCCCTTTTTTTTCCAGCAGCTCTTCTTTCCTTTTTCTTCTCTGGAATAAACTTAAGTACCTCTTTTTAGTATCCATCATCGCTAACCCGTTGTTTGTAACCGTTATGGTTTTAATCTACATTACCCATAATTCCAAGCCGTGGTGTAAAAAATAAATTACTCAAATACATTGCTCTTTTAAGATCTTTATTGCGGTTTGAAACATATTAAATTAGTGTATTTTTTACCAACCGTCTAATGAACTATACACAGTTATTAACATAGCAATTAAAAGTACCATTGTCTGCTTTGCTATTGGTGTGGCGTTTAAATGGCTCACCATCATCTTGAAATCTGGCTTGTGTTGTGTTCCGGTGCGGTCAGTCACTTCAGTATCAGGTAGGTTGAAGAGGAATTTTTCGCACCATTACATCTGCATCTGCAAATGGACGTCCTGGTCTACAATTGCATAGGGGGCCTACCAGGTGTCAGTGATGAGGCCCCTAAGAGGTCATGGGCCCGTAAGCAAGGGCTGTCTCTGCTTACCAATATTTACGCCATTGTTTGACCCCTGATTATAGAAGCAGCTAAAAGAGCAGAAGCAATAACAGTTGTTCAAAGTGTTTCAAATACTGATTTGTCATTTCTACTATATATAACAATCTGACAGAATTCAACATAATATTCCTACACTAATAGAATGCATTAGAATAATAAATGATTACAAATGCTGCTAAAAGTTTAACACAGATCATTTCTTCTCTACTAGAAAGGAGGAGCCCTGCAGCAGCAGATGCTTTATATTCTGAAATCAGTTCGGAAGCACCACTGGATGATGTTGCTGCGTAAGCTGCGTGCTGTGTCCTTTTGACGGTTACCCCAAGATAATTTGAACCAAATATTCACCTTCTTCAACTTTGAAAACCATCAATATTTCATGTGCTTTTGTTTTTTATGAGACTAAGCATGCCTTTAAATGCAATATCAGGCTTTTTTTTTTGTGTTGGTGTGTATATTTTGTTGTATAATTTGAAGTAGCTTCTTTTTGGGACTTCTGAATCTCTCTTTAATATTTTATATTGTTAGATTTAAATGTATTATGTTATAACATACAGTAACCAAACAAAAAAGTGAAATATTATATTTATAAGAGATTTTGCTCTCATTTAAATTTTCTGTTGTTTAGAACATGCCATTTAGATCAGTCTTTGAGCAGTGAGGTGCTTGCAATGCTTCTATTTGCTGGTCACATTAAATAGAGATTTAATTAAATTATACATATTACTGTAACGTATTTAAAGATGCTTTAAAGATGAAAGACTATTGTTTTCATTTTTAATGTGCAATATGTGTCTCAAATAAAGTATACATGAATAGAATAGTATATATTATGTTAGATCAATGTTTACTGTAGATCATTTAAAATACAGGTAAAAGACATGAAGTATCTGATTTCCTTCGGTTTTTAATTGGAGGACCTTTTGTTGTCAGTCATCTCTGTGTGTGTAATGATATACCCCTTTCCCACAGGCCGAAAAACTTGTTTCTACCCAGGAGTAATCGGCTTTTCGTGGCAATGGGAACAGCTCCGTGATCCATGAAATTACTTGGCAAGCGACCCGGGTTAAAATCACCTTAGAGCGGCATACAGCTGGGACATCAGACGCGAGTGGTCCCACTAATTTACATGATACGATTGAGAGCAACGTATTGACATCTATACACGGTGACAAATGCGTCTGATGTAATAGGACAAGTCTGCTTAAATTTGATAAACATGAAGCAGCACTGGTAAGAGGGATTCAGACAAATAAAAGAGGGAAACAACACAGCAGACTTGCTGTGCCTTGGTTTCCTTACATATTGCTCTCCATTGTTTACTTTCCTTATTTCTGTTGCACTGGTGAGAGCAACAATGCTTATCCAGACAAACAGTGACAATGGGTCAGAGGCCATGCAGAACATCTCTTTAATACTGCCTCCTCTTTGGTTGGGATTGATGTCCTCAATGCTTAGAAATAATAATATTGAAGGTGATCTCCAGTGTTTTTCATTAAAGGGCCTTACAACAGGACTAGTTTATTCATTCCATTTTACACCTACCATCCCCCACATGTTGACTAGCCAGCTGGAGTATGCGTAAACATATAATTGGTTTATTTGTCAAGGCTCAGATCTAAAGGATCCAGTATTCAAGGCGGACAAACCAATTACTCAGAACATTTATTGAAAGCAGAACTGGGTGGGTCAGCGTCTAAGGCAGGAACCTCTGTGGGTGGAGACAGTAGATTAGTAACCATGTCTTTCTGGAAGTGGAAAATCATGAACGAGTGAGTCACTAACCTGATCTTAAAGTTCAGTTTGAGACTGCCACCGTGGCAGAGCAATCGCCGCACAGAGAGTTCCAGGCACTAATGTATCAGAGTTCTGAGGATAAGCAGGAGATCAGCACCTGGTAGATGGATGAAGGCAGGATGACCTAGAGGCTGGAGCTAAAGGCAATTTTGGTGACGCAGTGGGTTGTCAGAGCCAGGAGGTGAGAGATCAGGTGAGGTGCTGGGGGAGAATCCAGGATGGAGTGGGGGTCCAGATAGCTGCTTGTTTGTTTGCTGAGGTGAACCAACACAAGTTTCTCTATGACTTTGATGCAGGGGGATGTCAGGGCAACAGGTCTATAGTCACTGAGGACTGTTGGCTGAGTCTTTGGTACTGGAACAAGGCAGGTCTTCCACATTATTGGAACTGTTTCTTGGGTCACGCTTAGGTTTAAGATGTGCTGTAGAATTCCACAGAGCTGCTCTGCACTGGCCTTCAGGACACTCGGGCTAACTCCATCTGCACTGGTGACTTATTACGATTCAGTCCCTCCAGAGAGGATGCTGAACCTGTTGAAAAATGGATTCAGTCCATTTGTTCAGCCCAGACTTCCATCTGTCTGATAATCCTTCTTCTTGAAGCCTGTGACCTTCTTTATCCTTTACGACACATCTCTGCTTGTTTTCTTTTTTCTTGTTGAGCAGTTCCCTCAAATCGCTTTTGATCCATGATTTATTATTTGGAAGCATTTCACTGTTCTAGTAGGGATGGTGTTATCTACACAGAAGTTTATGAAGTCAGTCACACACTCAGTCATTGCATTGATGTTCTCTCCATGTGGCTGACACAGTGCATCCCAGTCTGTAGCCTCAAAATATCCTTGCAGGGCTTCTTCAGCCTCCTGTGACCTACTTCTCTGAGTAATTTTATTGCAGGTTGTCTCTTATAAAGGGACTTATAATTTGAGCAATGAAAAACAAGATTGTGATTTGATTTCCCAAGAGGACATCTTACTTTGTAGATAAATAAGGCCTTGATATTTGCATAAAACAAATCCAAAGATTTGTTTCTCTGGTACACCAGCTGACAAACTGTTGGAACATTTGCAGTATAGCAGAGAGATAGGAGTGATTAAAATCACTAGTTATTACCACATATGCACTTGGCTGTTGAGTTTGGAGTTTAGCAACAATAAAACAGATTAACCTACTTCTCATGGAGTGGGGCAAAGGCAGAAAGTGGAATGTAAGTGGATACTAATAGAACACGGGTAAACTCTCTGGAAAAATAATATGGCAGAAAACCAACTGACAAGTATCCAAAAAAGAAAAAAAATATCAGTAAAAATCCCTACAGTTTCACAACATTCAAGACCAGAGGCAAAAAAAAAAGGAAACTCTGATCCACAAACAGGGAAACTAAAGTTCTTGTAAAAAATTATATTAGGGTCAAGCTAGCAGAGGTAGTCCAACGTGCAGCCATCTGAAGCAGTATTATTCTAGAAAGACATAATTGTGTTTTTCTTTCTGTTTGCGAATAAACCAGCTCAGCATTTGTCATCAATAAGTGATCAACAAGTTCTGCATTCAGACACTGAAGATCCTTTCTTGGTAGATAACCGCTGTTCTCAAGGTATAAAGCTCCCTTAAACAATCAAATATTTAATATAATTTATTATGGAAGCATGCAACCATTTGATTCAGTTCATTTAGGTTTATTTAGACAGTGCTTATTCACAACAAAAGTCATCCCAGGTCGCTGTACAAAAAAAGCAAACATGTGCAGAATCTGTTCATCATTTTTACTACAATATATTAAGGTGGTAACCTGTTACATTTAAACATTTACTTATGTAAGATGTGTATGAATAAATAATAAAATATTGGACACCAAGAATGGTTGAATTAAACTGTATAAAGAAGCAGAAGATGGTGATCATGTAAAAAAAAAGGGGGCTGTCTGATACGTTTTTTGTTGTTTTGGCTAGCTTAAAGATTTAATTTGTTATGAAGAAAATAATGCAGATGAGTTCTTTATGGTACTTACATTAAAATGACCAAATATTCCATTACTGACCCACAAAATTGTCACAATCAAATTTTTAAGTTTCACCACATTCAGTTTTGACCATCATACATACAATGTGCCCAACAGTACAGTCCTTAAACTGTCACCTAATGTGACATGGCTGTTTGAAGAATGAATTGTAAAATTAAATATATATATATTGTTTGTTTTTGTTTTTTTCAAAATTGAGCTGTTCAAAGCTTATTTGGCCAGGCATTGTATATCACAAAATGTAAAATACTGTAAAAGCCTACTAAAATGTTTTCATGAGTTGTAGCTTTTAGGTTATTTTAGAATTTACCTGAGAAACCTCCTGATGGTATCTTATTCATTAGAAAGTATTTACTACTGTGCTGTATGTGCTTTTCAGTATTGACACTTTGACACAAGTCATAAATACAAAGAGTCAAGTTTATGAAAAAAAAGAGATTCAGCATTCTCAAATTTTGCTGGAATTTTTACACCAAAAAAATTAACACAATTGTGTAATTAGCTGCGTTTATAGTCTTTTGACATATGAATGCTCATTTTCAACAACGTAACAAAAAACTTGCACAGGTTTACCTACATTTGATAAATTATCTAAATAAATCCACATACCAAGAGATGTAAATATATATTTCAACAAGAAATGACAATGTTTGAATGATTGTTCAGGCAGAAGATGCTTTAACTTAAAGATAAATACGATATATGAGATGTTGACAAACTCTATGTGACTTTGCTCACAGCTGATCTGAGGTCTGCACCATGAAGCAGAATTAGTGGTTTTAAAAGTAAGTTTGGGTTTAGATTAGTATTTTTTGATATCTGGAAGCTGATTCTTTTTGGCTCAGGGTTATCACCATTGTAACTAACAGCAAAAAAAAAAATGTATGCTGCAAGGCAGCTTCAGTCACCACTTTAAAGATCAACAAACAAAGTTGTAGCATTATATTGTTTTGAACAAATGAATGTGTGAGGACACAGAAGAACCCTTAAAGGTCCAGTCAAACATATCATTACTAGGTTTCAACATGCAATAAGGGCAGTGCACGCCTGGGGCTTATGGTCACTGGCTACTGAATTGATTTAAGGCAGCATGGAGACTCTAGAGTTAGGCAAGCAAAGAATGCAAAATATATTTTAAAAATCAATCTTCTCTCATGGTCAGGCAGGGAGCTGGCTGCATCTATAAATAAGACCAACTATTGCTAGGACCACAGAGACGATAGGTACAAATTTGCTCTGCCTTTCCAGAGTGGTGTAACTACTGAGCATGTGCTAACTGTTGATGCACAAGTTGAAATAAGCACAATGCTGAGTTGCCTCATTGTTCAGATAAACGGCATTGTTCCGCATACTCACTATGAAATGGATTGCTATAACAAGGCAAAAGCTCTTTTAATTTGAATGAAACTGAAATAGCAGACTTGGTTTTAATTTTCTTTTAGAAAATCAATATAGACAGATACTTCTCAATTTATAACAAGCACATTGGTGCCGTTTGCACGGATTTCTATCCCCTGATTTTCACAGCTGATGTAAGGGGATACACATGTTGATGACATTAATTATTAGAAGAGATAACAGACGTCAGAAGACAATTTTTCGGTACCAATTAAAGGACATAATCGTAGGGGACACTCTTTGTGTGACCCAGGATCTCACTGTAACACACTAAAACCAGTGTGGCTAAATTACTTTGCAAACAAAATACAATGTGGACTTTCAAATGTTTTTGGGTTTTTGCCAGAAACGTATTTAGAGTAGTTGTGATTGCAGCATCGACAAACTATAGAAAAGAATAAGTAATTTTGGATTACAATTAATTAGCCTTGAACAATAAATTTGCTAGCTCATTACTACATTTTCCCAGCTACATTTCTTTGGTGATTATGATTGGTCCTTTTGTTCAAGAGTCACCTATTTCTGTTAGGATATCTACAATCTAAAATAAGGATTTGACGTCACAGAATGAGAGCCAGGTTCATAACCCTCCTGATGTGATCCATTAGATACTATGCATTTATTTGGAAAATCTAGAAATCTAAAATAATCAATGTAAATTGAAGCTGCTTCACAGCACAGGACTCAGCTCTGCCTTCTCCTCTGTCAGAACTCCTTGATTGTCAATATCAAAGTACTGATTTCTTATCAGAGGTTTTTTATTGCTTTCACAGTGACCACAGTGTTCACCTCCCAGGCATAAATAAAGCTGCAGTTGGTTCATAAAATTCTATTTATTTTTTTTTTGCTACACTAAAAGAGTTTCACTCATTTTGCAGCTAGTAGAGCAAGATGGCCTACTGTTGCATCAAGTTGTAGACATGTTGACATCATCATCATTAATTTATTTTTCCCAGCATGCCTTTGGCACTTTTTGAAACCTCTCTGACTTCTACACCTGAGAGATTAGTGTTTCTATGACAATTGTTCCACCAACATGATGAGGTGAAGCAAAAAATAAAAATAAAAAATGATTTGAACAAATCCATCATCATTATCATCTTCATGTTTGGGTTAGTGCAGAAAACAAGCACATGCGTGCTTCGGTTGTGTGCTTGTATACATGGGTCTCTGTTTGCTACCTCTGTCTGATGGGTTGCATATTTGGATTTATGTGATTTCAATCACTGTTTGATGTGTCTGTCTGAAACATTGAGGGTTTGTCATGTTTGTTCGTAAAAAGCTGCTGGGTATCAGTGTCTATGCCTGGGGCTGTGTTGTATATGTTTAGTTGTGTTGGTATCAGTAGTGTTTTTGTGTGTCAGTGTTCGTTGGGCATGTGTCTGATGGTGTGGAAGATCCAGTCCATCTTGGTGCTCCAGCCTCCATGATGAGCATCGTTCATCTGTTTTGTGAAGTACTCCAGTGCCTCCTGCTGGCTCTTTTCTGAAATAAAACAGATTGTGAGTTGGGAGAATTTATAGAAAGACGGTGGTGTGTATGATCTAGTTCCTTCATCATAGTATTCTTTTCTTCAACATTTCTGTGCAAATTTCTGTGTCTTATTTATAATAAACCAGCAGACTGCTGTACACTCTTGTCATAACAAATACCAGTTGTTTAAGTAAAAGTCAAAATTAACCACTTTCTTGTGTGTCTAATCTGTATACCCTAATCTGAAGGCTTAATTTCTCATTTTTAATGGGGATTTTTTTTTTTTAGAAAAACGTTAGTTAAAAGAAAAATAAACACGCTGTAATTAATGAAGTCACACTAGTCATTCCTGCAAGTGGGACTAGTGTAAGATAAAACCAACAAACTGACAGGTTGATATGTTGTTTTAGCCATGTAGGATAAAGATTTAACTTATTATTGCTGTTTGTTTTTTAATTCTTATTTACTGTAAGTAGTTGATATTCTTTCAGAAGCTGAAAAAAATCCCATACTGCAAGTGATCAATGATCAAACAAGCTAAAGGGTGTAGGACTGGAGATGTTCTATTATTCATTATTCCATCGTCAACCCTTCTGCCTAGACCAGATCCAGTTTTATGGAATGTGCCAAATCTACCGATTTAAGAAAATGTGAGGTGGCCAGGTTCAGAGTCCAAATAATATGCTGAAGTTAGTGAGTTTCCCCAGTTTTTTTTGTTTTTTTTTTTTCAGAAGCCAAATTGCCAATTTTGCTTCTGATGAAAAAAATTTGGCTTCTGATGGAGAAAAAAAACTTGCCATTTTGTAAATTACTTTAATTTCTTAAAATCCACTTTTCTCTATACGTATATCCCCCTTTTCTATAGACTCTATTTCTGTCTGTTCTCTTCTTAATATCTACCCTCCCAGTTTACCTAATGCAAGAGTCTTCCTAAGGTACGCAATATCATCAAAGCTCTGCAGTTCAGGCATTCCACAACCCAGCATGAGTGAGAAGAGGTTGATGAAGAGGCTAGCATGCTGTCGGATGGCCAGGTAAGCTTTGTAGCACATCTCCTGGAACCTGTATCAAAGAAGAGTAAAAACAGATGAGAAGGGCTCTTATACAGACACTGGAAGCAGCTGCAGATGCTGCAGACAATGATCAGGTAAGACCTCTCAAACTCCTTCGTCTTGGTCGACTCCTGGATGCCTTTACTGATGACAATGAGGAAATCCTGAGTCAGCACAAAAGGCACACGTTCCCTTTTGTAGCCAAATTTCTTCTTCTTGTGGTCTAGGAAGTGGCCAAAGTCAATGTGGAACAGCTAAAGGGAGTAGAATATTAGTTAGTTTTGGGGAGCTAAGGAAAGACAAAGGTAAAGAAAACAGATTAGAGCTCCACCTGTCCGTTCTCCTTGACCATGATGTTGGAGTTGTGTCGGTCTCCAATACCCAAAATAAATGTAGCAACGCAGTAACCTGCACAGGACCTGGTGAACAGGTCAATGGCTCGATCATACCTAAGAAATAGGTGAGACGGGGACAAAGAACATATCAGATAGAACAGATGAGTAAAGCACTACTAAAAGACTAAGAAACCGGGGGATAGAGCTCAAACAGATGGATGCACATCCACCAAAGATAGAAAATGAGGTCTACAATCAGATGGCGTACTTACGCCTCTCCGTGGTTCTTGTCTTTGATCCAGTGGTGAAGCGTGTTGGAGTTGAACTGCAGTGCCCCCTTCAAGCCTCCTTTGCACTGAATCTGCATGATAGTGTAGCTGTTCTTTACCACCTCAATGAGACCAACACGGTCCCCGATGGATAGGCAGCCATAAGGCAGCATTCTGTAATAAACAGACACTTAAAAGTTTGCTACTGTACATGTGTTATTAATGTCCCTTTGTTTGATGATGTCACCGGCTCTCACCGCAGGTCCAGCCCTTGGTTCTGCCAGATGTTCTCCATGATTTTAATAATCTGCAGCGTCAGCATGTCTTGACGCAGATCTGCAATGCAAAAGCAAAGAGCTCCATTACCTCAATGCCCTAACAGCCCTGTTTGCATTCTGCAGTGAAATTCATGCTATTAAAACAATGAACTAGTTACCGTCCCCATTCTTGAAGATGATTTCATTGTTGGTGAAGAGCAGCTCAGACATTATGTCTGGGTTCTCCCAGTTAAGCCAGAGGGGACGCTTTGCTGAAGACATGATCCTGCACTCCTCCAGCCTGCAACCACAACTACTGGTGTTACAGCTGCAAGCCACCATAGGTATATAATGGCGTGCAGCCTAGTATGATGCTTAAATGGTTAGGCCAGTGGGAGAATTTGAGGTTTACATTTAGAATTGTTCCTTATTTAAATGGTACATTGATTATTTTTTTACCTGAGGTTCCCCAGCTGGTGAACTGGGTTTAATGGTGATACAAATCCTTGCAGGGACTCCATGTAGTCTGGACGTGACATGTGTTCCACCAGGAATTTCATCTGAGTCTACCCACCAAAATAGTACAGTGACATATCAACAGCCAGGAAAAATAAATAAATAATTAAGTATGCTATTACTTATTTTCTATACCTTCTGAGTCTCATCCTTCTTTTCCTGCTTCAAGGTGTCGGTCAGATTCACCAGTTTATCCATGGCCTCCACCTGCATAAATGTTCTTTTTTTAATTACCGTTCTGGTTTCTAGGTATTCCATTGAAGTAGTACAATAACTTGACCTGGTAGGTCACAAGAGGATGAGTATTTTTGTTTTAACTGAAACCCATTCTTACATTTTTGTGTAATTTGGACTTAAACAAGTTCTGAAATAGTTACATTTCAAAAAAAGAAAAAACATATTTAAAAGACATACATAGCTAAATAAGGGCAAAAATCAATAAAAACCATGCATTTAATTATAAAAAATGCTATTATCTGTAATACTAATCAAAGAAATGCATGTGGAGTGAAACTTATGTTTTATTTATTTATTTGTATATGAAATCTGAAGTATAAACAAACAAAGTTATAACATAATTTAAAATAAGTATAAGAGAAAAACAAAAATATTAAATTATGTGTGGTAGTATTAGGAATTCTCTATGGTGCAGCAACATATGTACCTCTTGTAGCCTGTTATTTTTTTCATCTTTTTTATTTTTACTAAGAGGTTAAGGTGGACATTACTGGACTTTATGAAGGTGAGGGGTCTTTTTTTTTTCAATTCCTTTATCTTGGAGCACAGCTGTTTGTGTTTATTCTGTACATGTGTGCCGTGCATGCTGGTGCACCAGTTCACTCCATCTATTGTTCTAAATACCACACTTCATCTGGTAATTATTCATAAACATATAACTGACAAAGACTGAAAGCTGTTTGGATATTTGCTCCTGGGTACGGTATGCTATGATTATATAATATTGATTAAGACTGCCAACTCTATCAATATTTAATAATTGATCTAGTGTTGCACAAAGAATGCTTACCTGTCTATTCAAGTGTTTCAGGTACATCCCACAGGCTCTACAGAAAGCCTCCAGCAGCAATCCAAACCTTCTGGAAACTGTCTTATTGTGCATTTCTGACCTGTGAAAACACTTCTTGTTAATTCCAACCTGAATTTACAGCAGGCTAACTACAGTTCTTTACAGATTCAAAACAGGGAATGTACACTGACTTCAGGTGCCAGAAGAAGAAGTGTCCTATCCTCTGATTGGTCAGAGCTTTCTTGATGAGGAATCGAGCCAGAGGGTTGTCCAAGTACATCTCATATTTTAATACCTGAAGGCCCAGAGATTAGGTTCGCAGTCATTTTATAAAAAAAAAAGAATACACCTTTGAGGACAGTGTCAGCTTACTTGTACAAGCTGCAGCAGATACTGTGACAACTTGTCATCTGTCAGGCCCTGTACCAGACAGCGCAATGCAAACTCTCTGACTATTGGATCGGGGAAGTTACAGTCCAGCAGCTCAAGAGCTGACTCTGGCTCCATCAAAGGCCATTCCTTCAGTAAGCAGTACATCTGGGGAAGAAGAAGAGACACATTGACATGGGTAATAACAAAAGGTTGAAAGTAAGTATTCCATACTACAATGCCTTAAGCATTTCTGTGTATTGCCATGTTACAAGTTAGACAAGCAACACTGGAATATACTTTTATGTGATGCATTTAAACCCATTATGACTGCATATTAGGGGTTGTCATCCTGAATGATGATATATGAGAAGTCTGGTATTTTTCTGACTCTTTTTTTTTCTTTCAGCTTTCCTTGAAATTATCTGCATCCATCTTTCCATGAACTCACAAGAAAAGTGCCCCTACTGCATGATGATACCACCTCAATGCTTTATGGTGGGATTTCTGTGTTTACATTGTTAAAATGTGTGTAATCTGACATACAGGGTTTTATATGAAGAAAAAAAGTTATACATTTTTTCTTATTTGGCAAAACCCTCTTCACTGAGTAGTAGCTTCCTTATTCTTTCTCTTTTCATTAGGAGAAGATTTGTGATTCACAGACCTTATATTAGTTTTTCCTGCAAATTCTTCAAACTAAGCTGTAGATCTGAGCATTTCCTCCTGAGTTTCCATGGTTAAGTAAATTATATAATCTTTTTACCACTTTTACATTTCACTATTAGGTAGTGCATAGAATGATGTTTCATTTATTTAAATACCTAAATAAATCTGTGACTAAAATTTTAAATCAGAAAGGAAACAAAAGCCCTAAAATGAGTATCAAACTATTCTTTTTCTATGTCAGTAGAGCTGTTCTCAAACCACTAAGTTATTCAGCCAAAGGAAAGGCATTAGTGGATTCACTTCCTCTGGCTGCTGTGGAATGGAGCCTGGCCATGTGCCTTGAATATGAGCTGTTTTGCTGAGGCTCTGCAGTCTGGGCTTGGCTACAACCGATTCCGGTATCAGATTGCACTCTCTGTGTTAATAATTGAATACATCGAAGCCCGGATAGGGCACAGTTTGGAGGATCCTTCCTGATGGTGACAATGAGTTTATACCTGGGACACTTCATCTCTGGAGTTCCATTTGACAGACAGAAGCAGCTTAGGTAGAGACTCTGGGATGTTTAAACAATAATGTCTGCAGAGAGACAGACAGAGACAAGGAGACATGGACAGGTAGAGACAGACAATAAAGTAATCAGAGCTAGAAGCAGCAACAGGTAAAGCACACATACATATACATAAAGCACAAAGTAGAATAAAACTGCAGCGGACAAAAACAAAAGTATGAAAAGTAGTATAAAGATAGCTTATATCTTATCTTCTCTCTTAGTTTTTCCAAACCTAGTTTTTATAAACCTACTCTAGAAATGTTGACTATTGTGACTTGATGTGATTAAAACAGGTGATGCTATCTGATGACTACAATTAAGGTTTAGCTCACTTGAAAGGCTGTTTTAAAGAGCTACTCACCTTTTTCTCTAAGGCTGAACACAGCCATACTATGGAAGTAGCTCACATCTTCCACCTGAACTGAATCTTATCTTATTGATCTTAATCCTTATCTTTGACACCAAGTCTGGTCTGGAACTTAAAATATCCTGGAAAACAAGCACTTTACCTGATTCCCGAACTATTTTAAACCACACAAAGCAGTGAAGCATTTTCATTTTTGCAGGATAAGCCCCTGATGTCTTTAAAACCTCCACTTTACTTCCATCTTACTATTTCTCAGGAACAAGATACCAAAGTACTTCTATGCCACTCATCGAGGAAGACTATCTTTTGATTAAAACAAAAAGAACAACAAAAAAATCTAGCGGTGGGTCGTTATCGGTGTTAACTCAGCCTGTTAACGCCAGACTCTTATCAAGCGATAATAAAATATCACAGTTAATCTATTCTCACAGTTGGGTTGGGAGCTTGGTCTACACTAATGATGCCTTTCATCTTGATATTTTAGCGTCGATGTACAGTATATCTGGGGGTGTGACCGAATCAGTCTTAAAACCTTAGTAGGCGTAGTGTGAAATTACCACATCGAACAAGACGTGCTGACATGGATGGAGCTATAAGCACAGCTCTATCAGCCAAGCTAACTATTATCCTTGTTCATTGCATAACCACAAGCTGCCAGGCTGATGGGGTCAAGCTTGTTCTCCAGGCGACCTAAGGTGACCCATCTTACAAACTACCTGCGAGGCGAACTATCATGAATACAATACATGACTAGCACGCCGCAGAAAACAACTGTGAAAGATGAGAAGTTGGTCGAGGCGACATGTGTTTGTCAGATTTTTTAGATACTATATTGTTAAAGTGGGACATCTATAATTGAAAGTGGGACATCATATTTTTTGCAGCAAAAATATGGTAAAAAATTAGCAAGCAAAGTATTTACAACGTTGTCAAAATCTCAAGTAAAAAGACGAAAACCAGTTAAAAACATTTGTTCTCTGTAGAGGAAGGAGACAACCTCAGCTGGACAATCATTTTCTCAGCTTTTCATGTTTGGCAATTTGGCAAGAACTGGGATTAAAGGACAGAAAACAAGTTAGTGAATCCTTAAATGGAAACAATGGTTCCAAAGCATAGACTTTTCCCACTTTAAAAACATCAATTGTTTTTGCTTGAATTAGAGATTTTTAGAGGGGTTTAAAAAGTTGCTTAACATGGACCAGTCTTAAACAAAACAAAATAAAAAAAACTGTTTAAGCCTAACAGCCAGGCTAAGTGCTGGCATATGCTGTTAAAACTCATTTCCATCATGTCTTAATGTGGTAAAGCAGACATGTACATCGGAACATATGCTGCGGTCAGGACCCCACTTTTCCTGGAGCGTCCATGAATTTTTTAACAACACAAGCAAAGCACTTTATGCACACATTTCAAATGCACAGCTGAATATGAAAATGGTTGCAGCTATCAGGCTTTTTTGACTGTAGTCCACAGAAGGCAAATCAATATGCTATATAGTTAAACCTGCTAGAAGGCACAATGGGTTAAAATGATACCCAAGATCTTTATTGCAAACATTACAAACTAGACAGAAATTTACTTAATAGCTCTTATGTTCAAAGTTGTAGGTATGGTGCATTAAAAAAAATGAAAGATGAAGATGACAATATCTAAGGTGCATTTCTATTACCTAAACTATTTTAGCTATATGAAGAAATGTTGTTCACAACTCACCTGTGTCTCCAGAGGAAGTCCTTTTCTTGTTCAGAAAGCTCATACAGAGGATCTTTGGAACAAAGGGAGCGAAGCTGCTCTGCATCGGTGGCTGAAACGCTGCTGTCGCAGGCAAGGCGGCTACTCTGAGACAAAGACAAGAAGACAAACAACAGTTCACTCACAGGAGAAAAACACTTTTATTTATCTATTCCCAATAAATCGGACAAAAAACTTAATGCATTATTTCAAATACTAGTAGTTATAAATGTCTTTGCTCTGTACTTAGCTAAGAAATTATAAAAATCTAAGATCAAGACAAAAACGCACAACAAGGTCATTTTAACATGTAACAGCAAGGTATAAAAACTAAGTACAACACTTTATTTACTTAGAGGTTCAACAACCTCCACCACTTAATTAAAGTCATCTTTACCTGACTTCATCAGGTTGAAATTGTTGTGAACAATTTATGGCAAGCCCTTTAACAATATCGATATAATCCATCAAGAATATCAGACATTTGTTGCTAGAAATATTCCACAAATTTCCATCATCTCCCTTCAAGAGGTCTGAAATTTTGCCGTTTGATTCTTTATTTAGACCATCTTGTTGTTTATATGTCTTTGTAATTGAGATTAATGTCCTACTGATGAGTAAGTAGGACTAAGTAAGCCTCTCATTTAAATATATATTTTTTTAACTTTACACATGACTTCATGGCTTTCTTTAAGGCTGCACTGTGTCCAGGTTCTGTGGATGTAAAGCAAAGCTCTATCACCATTCTTGACGGTATTAGTATGCATGTGTTTATGTTGTGTGCCTATTTTTGGACATGTCCCTTTGCATTATGATCTCTTTGCTATCATCTGTTCTAAGGATTTTGTTGCTTCCTACATAAGGCAGTAAAGTCAGACCAGGAATTTCAGACCTTGCAGCGAATCGGCCTTAAGCTCACTGGAAACCAAATTGTGCCACTCATGGTGTCCAAATTAAAATCTTTATTTTTATTGGAAGCATAGAATTCAGATTGTTTCAGAGCCTATATTAATCTAACATTACAATATAGAACAAATGTATTCTCCATGAGAAATTGCTTTATTTTACCATTTTGCATTGTGTTTACACTGACCTGTATGTGCAGAACCAGAAAACTGTTAAAACTTTTATACCAAAGGTGTTCATACATGGTAAGAGCCAATTTCATACGTTTATTTGAAAATTTTCCTTTTGAATCCGTTGCCGTTTTCAGTTTTTCAAAAAGAGCATTTTTTTAATCACGGCTTTATCTTTGCTTAATAACTCTGTTGAATCTGCTGGGTTTTTTTATTCAATGTTTTAATTAATAGTTTTATAAGTCTTTCACATAAGAAATAAAGACCACATATTAAGAATAGCCACAGAACTTTTCCTATAATTGTGTATTGGTGGTTGCTGTAGATGTTGTTGTTGTAAAATTAGCCAAACAAAAATGACCCAAATGTTATTTTAATGGTTACAGAACCCTTCAGTTTCTCGACCAGGTTTAGGTTGGAGGTAACCTTTAGACCCTGATCTGTTTAACAAAGAGGCTTGCATTGTTTATTCGCATGGATTCGATTTTAAACACAATTTGACATCAATCTGTCTGAATTCTGTTAAACCAGGTCAGTTCATAAGTTACCAGTCCATGGCAGTAGTTGTAGCCCAGCTCTCTGCTGATGGTCCAGTTAGCATGTTCTTCAATCTGCTGCTCATCAGGAAACACAACTGTCTGGTTAAACCGTGAGAACTCCAGCTCCACACAGGGGGTCTCCTGCAGGGCACAGTGCCAAGGCATTGATCAGGTCAGCCATTATCATTCACTCATTCTCCAATTGTCAAGCATAATTTAGTCCTTGATCAGACAACAGGAAGGTCAGACTGGATGCTAACAAACACAGCTACCTTATTTGGGTTTGAACCAGCCACTCCAATGGGGTTCAGTAGGTCTTCAAGGCCATGAGGGACGGGCCAGAGACTCAGAGCCATCTTCCCACAGACAAGGATATCCATATAGTCAAACAGGCTGACATTACCCCAGGCCAGAGGGCAGTGCTCCTACAGGGGGACACGGAGAGGGAAGATGGATTTAAAACTGCTTTTCTTTTGGTTTTTGGACATCCAAACAAGTTCACAATTTCCTTTTTATAATTCATGTGTAGAGAAGCTGTATTCGTTCCAATTTACAGTAGGTGCATTTAATGTTCAATCGTTATGTATTGATTACCTACGTTAACAGGTTCAGCCCAGTAAAGCATATTATGTGTGAACTTGCTTAGGCAGTCAAAATACTCTCATTGATTTCAATGGCTGAGTATTTGCTCTCACCATGTGCAGGTGTCTATGCTGCCTACCTCTTTCGCTCCTTTCCTTCCCTTCACAGAGCAAATCGAGAGACAGAGTCTTGCTGAACGAGGAAGATCCGCCAGGTAAATGTCATAGGTCAGCCACTCGTTCCACCTATGCACAGGTATGCATCAGACGGATAATATCAAGGTTTGGCAAGTATCTGCTGGGTGTTTTCAGTGTGTATGCTGCAGTAGAATAGGGTTCGTTACCTTGGGTTGGAGCAGGGAACTCTCTGTGTGTTGACGTTTTCACACAGTGGCTCTCCTCCATGATAGATACCTGTCCTGACGTATATCTACACACAAATACACAATTTAGGTAAGGAAGATACCATAATTTCAGAAAAACCCATTCAAAACCTTCTTCGATATAGTGAAAAAACGATAATAAATTAATTTTCTGTGTTTATAAACTACTGAAGTTTCTTCACAGGCACCCATGTAGGAGCTTCACCCCCAAAAAACAAAGTTTAACGTAACACAGAGTCTAAAAAAACCACTGTTAGAAAGAGAGTAACAATCTCAGAGATGCAGAATCACAACACTGAGCTTCACAGCATCAAAGTACCTTGACTGTGAGTGATCACGTGACGAGAACATGAGAGGAAATAGACAAAGACAACCTGAGGAGACAGAGGAAGGACACACAGTGGAAGACAGATTTAAAACTGAAGACAGGAAATAAGGACAGAGACTGAGGACACAGAAAGATAAGGTTCATGGGAGTGTTTAACAAAGATTTAGATAATATTCTGTTTGTTTGTTAAGGATGGAAATGGAACAGATAATGGGAACTTAAATGCTGGAGAAAAGATACCCTGTGCCTTCATGTACATTTAAAAACTACGTGTGAAAGTTGGATGTTAAACTACCATGGAAAGTATGTCTCTTTGTCATGGAGGACTATCTGAATTTTGAAAATGAAATAATCAAGTGTTTGGGAGGAAGTCTTAATATAATGCAGTTATCTGAAAAATAAATCTAGAGGAAATAACAACTGATTCTTTGAGATCAGAGCTATTTGCAAGAGACAAAGAATAATGAATCCACTCATCCAGGGATTTGTGGCTGATATTTATTCAGACAATTTCTCCAAAGTTCTTCTCAATACATTTTAGACAACAACGAAAATGGATCAATGCCATTTCAATTAGTGCACATTTGAAAGAAGTCAAATGAACCTCCCGCATGTTTTGAACTCACTACTGAGGAGGAACTCAACAGGGCTTTTACAATTGGGGAGGAATATAAGGCATCAGCTCAGGTAAACATCCTTAAAGATCTGGTTTCATTGAAATAGGATCTAAGAACCCTGCTATTTTGTACTATTCACTCTATGCATTGAATAGAAATAATATGATTGAATCGCAATAATAAAAATATAGGCTTATACAGACAATATACAGCAAAGATTATCAAATTGCTTATTTTTACACTGAAAATGTTAATTCCCTTACAATCTGAAACAATAAAAGTCATTTTTTATGCATAAATAAGGCATCTCTAAGTCCTCAAAGGCTGTTATGGTGCCGCTTTTAGACATGTCAACCAAATGCTAATATTAGCCAGATTAGTTGACTTAGGTCTGTTGAAGTAGAGACATCTTTGCATTGCAGGACTGGAGTTAGTGTTGAATTATTCCACTGTCTTTTGTAATCTGTCTGCGCATTAAAACCAACCATCCCTTAACATCCCTTACAGATGTAGAAATATTATCTCAAGCATGATTCTCCCTGCTAAAAGGGAGCTTTAATCCTTCCAGTTTTGAGGAGTGCCTTGATCTTGCCAGGAGCTCAAACTGGCGATGAAGAAACATTTTTCTTTGTACCTTTGATCACTTCTGCACCTGCTGTCTTTGAATCGAGGACAACTGTGAGAGTGGTGCAAAAATAACTTTAAGCCGTTTGGATCGGAGTTATCTGTTATCTGTGTGCATTTAGAGGGATCTGCTTTATGAAAAATCAGATAACGCACTAAAAAAATTGGTGAGGAAATATGCCACTGCTTAGTGACATTTTCCCTGTGGTTAAATGCTTAGGAGAATGTAGAACACTAAAAGTAGAATAAGAAAAATAGATTAAAACTAAGAACAGTTACAGAGGGTGACAAAGGGTTAGAGTTTTGGGCAGACAAATGAACTCAAGTTATTTTTAAGCCGCCCAGAAAACAGAGGGGACACCTCAAAAAAACAGAGGATAGGGAGATTATTGAACTCTAAACCTGCTTGAATTATCTAAATGTTGACTTTGATTTAGCCGACATAGACAACTTAGATCAGAAACAGACAATGACGTAGACAAACAGCATACAAATGGAAAGAGACAAAAGAGGTTAAGTAGGGAGATTAATGGACAGTGGTCAGAGGTACCTTGTCAATGTCCCGGATGTTTACGTTGACGTAGGTGGCACAGAGCAGTCGGACTCTGAGCAGAGTGTTAAAGGCCCAGAGGGAGCGGGGAGGAGATCCATCACCTCCACCTGGACAGGGAGATGGCTGGGGTGTCCTCCGACTGAAACACAGACATTAGCTTGACACCCGCTGCAGTATCTGTTCCTAATAGGTCGTCACATATAATTCAACTGGCTTGTACCTGTAGGAAGGCGTGACGAAGCCTGAGGCTGGAAGCTGCGAGTAGAGGCTGTCTTTGGACACGAGCATTAAGTGAGGAAGACGTCCAACGATGATACAGGAGCGGATGTACTGCAGACAGAGAGGCGAGTTGCAGATGGAGATAATTGGGAAGACTCGGACAAGTAGAAAAAGCAAGCTGAATATTTAAGCTAATTACCTTATACTGACTGAGGGGGAAATTCTCTAAGAGATACTCATCGCAGCCGCAGACCTGAGAGACACATAGAGAGCCCTCTGAGTTACATGGACACAGGTGGCAGAGGGGAAGTAGGACAAAGAGACACAAGTAGGTGAGACATTTGGAGATGCGAAACAGTAACGTCAGACAGAAAGGTGTATAAGTTAATAAATGGGCGGGTCAGAAAACCAGGTGTACCTTGAGGATGTACTGGTCCTGGTTCTCCCGGACCCTGACTGACAGGTGGATGGACAATCAGACAGGTGTGCTGGTAGGCAGGTGGATGAACTGACAGGTGGGCAGGTATATTGACAGATAGCTGACAGAAATAGATGGAACAGCCAGGTATACCTTAAGGATGTACTGGCCCTGGTACTCCTGCACACAGAGACGGAGCTGCTGAGGGGACAGGTGCATCGATCGACTCTTCTTCCTGATGGACTCTGCGATTAGCTGCTCTGGTAAACTGTCGTGGCTCACCTGGACACAGAGTTAATATGACAGATTAAACTCTTTTCTTTCTAAATAAGAACATGTTTAAGCTGCATTGAAAATCTGGATTGAGGTTAATATGCTCAGATATTACAGAGCTACAAATATAAAAGATTTAAATTAACACAAAGTCCCACTAAACCAAACTGCTGAAGTATTTAGGTCTTGAGATGATCACAATTTTTAGTGAGTATTTTGCATTATTTATTAGCACAAGCTAGGAAAGCGAGGGCTTTACACTTGAAATCATGTTTCTATATTTGAGACTCTTATTTTGAAAAAGAAAGTACTTTTTATGATGCTCAAAAATTGTGATGGACTGCAGCTGGCATTACTCACTTAAAAGCTTTGTTTAACAGTTTAAGTGACATATTCTTTTTTTTTTAAAAACAAAAAACATTTGAGATAATTCTGAAACTCTTTTAAGTGTCGTCAAACACAGAAATAAAAAAACTCAAGTCAAATACCTTTTGCTAGCCATTCGTTTAATGACAGTATTCCTCTCCCAAAATCTGCTTATTAATTACATGTATATTATAATGGGGGTTACTAAATAATGGCACTTTTCTATAGTAATTTCAAGCTATCTTTAATTAATTTAAGCTTTTAAATTATTTTCTTTATTATGTAAAACCCTGAAAAATCAGCAAAGGGCTGCTAAATGAAAAAGCCATTTAATCTGTCATGAATAATATCCAAGCATCTAAAAATTACAAACAAATATGTATGATCATTCTGGTCCTTCATTGCATCAGAATTCCATGTAACTAATGTTTAAATTGTACTACTTCCTGATTTCACTACCAAGGGATGTAGAAGATAGAAGTTATCCAACACTAAATACATCAATCTCTTCCTAGACCCATTATCTAAATCAAAATCTGTCTATTGCCTCTGCTAAATCTAATGATACACTGTTTCAGTTTTGACACATGGTTGTATAATTTATGAACATGGTAAGAAAAATGTGTGCTTCAAGCATTTTTGACACATTTCAGATGACAGCTCACAGCTGATATTGATTTACTTATGATAACACTCATAAAACATTACATCAGCATCTGAAATAAGATTGTCTGGCCTTTCCGCCCTGAGCATCATTAGGTATTTTAATTTAAAAGCAAAGATGACATCACTCTGCAACTAAGGGTGTCCTTATAAACCAATGTTTTAATAATATATTAGAACTGAGACAGAATGCTGATGGGCATATTTTAAATGCCATTAAACATCTAATAGGTTTGGATTAGCATGGTTAGCATATGAGTATTACTACAATTGCAGTGCCTTTGCTAAAGAATGTAGATTTTTTACTCCAAGATATACATAAAGTTTTCAGTATTCCTCCGATGGTTAACGGTTAAGATCTCAAAAATATGAATTAAACTTCCTTTCTGTAAAAAGCTTTGCTATTATCTAGCGAAAAACTATGTCTTGCAGACTAAGTAAACTACAGGCATATTGAGGCATGTTAAATAGACTTTTATTTTAATTTACTTAACTAAATTTGAATCTTATTCATTAAATAATATCTTTACACCAGATTGCTGTTACTGCAACCTCTGCACTAACCAATGATGTGTTCATGAAACAGGAAAAGATTAGATTTTTCTGTTTGCTGGATACAGGTCTGGGCAGATCACTGATGATTCTGGTCTTTTTTAGTCCCAAACTCAAAGCTGTGAGAAACCTGGGTCACATGGAATAAAACTAACACTTTGCCAGATTTACCTTTAAAGTGTATTTCTGCTTAGAGTTTGATGGAGACATAATCACCCAGATGGTCACTATGAGCCGTCCTGCAAAAAGACATACACATCTGGCTAGATCAGAAAAGCAGTGATTTACGTAAAGACAGAATCAGTGAGGTTTTGAAAGTGTCTGGTGAAACAGACTGGATTAATTAAGATGCACAGGAGTATATAGTCAGACTTGTGGCCTTCTAAAACTGGATCCAGAACCCAACAGAAGAACTGCTTCAGCACCTTTGTCCAGCTTGCTATAGATGTGCTGTGGCAGATGAGGACTGGACTCCACATTGGGGGGGTACACATAGAGTGCCTGGGTATGCGCCCCACCCCCCTCCCTCTCCTCCATGGCCTCTCTGCACACGCTCAGTATCGAGCGCCGGAAGTCCTGAACCTCTGGGTCCTTCATCATCTCAAATTCACACACTGGCATCCCAATGGCAAAACCTAAAAAAAACAGAAAGTCTTATTTTGGAAGACAGCATCATTGGTTGTTGCGTCACAGAGAACATTTGTCCTACCAATCTCTCGGTTTAGGATCTTCTCCTCACGGTTCCCCAACGGCTCGATGACCTTCAGGATGGGGTGAAACAGTCGCAGGTCGCACAACCTTCGTGTCTCATCGTAAAACTCCTCCCTCTCAGCCTCCTGGGTCACGCCCACAAAGATGTAGCATGACTCCTCCTAATTAGAGTGGAGAGGTCAGCGCTTCAGTCTGTCACGTGTAGAGGCCGGGGAGTAGAAAGAGAAGAACATCGTACCTGCAACAGGTGGTAGAGTGGATACTTCCTGGCCTCGATGAAGAGCTGCTGCTTTATGTTGATGAGGGGAGTTTCTCTGAGGCACTCCAGGCTCACCATCATACCTGTTCAACAAATATATAGAGATTAAACACTAGTAAAGCAAGGTAAAGGCGAAAACTCTGTCAGATCGAATAAAAAAAAATATATAAAAAAAATATTGGTACTTCTGTAATTGGATGATTTAATTAAATTGAAACATGTAGAGAATAGAGAAAGGCTGAAGAAATGCAAAACCACACATCACATCTATATATACTGTCAGATGATTTAGCTCTATTTTGGTGCCTGATGCACATAAAAACAGAAAATAATGCAGAGAATACTTTAAAAATATACATATGTGTGTAGAGAAACATAAGAAGGCTGTTACCATTGGGGAGGCAGCAGTCCACCAGAATCCTCGGGGGCATCAGATGGAGTCCCCATAGCTCCCCTGATGAAGGCCGGGGTACCATGGTAACCACCAATCACCAGCTTCCACACCTCAGCACAGGGCTACCTAGATAGACAGACAGGTGAGGTGAATTTACTTCCCATTTGATTCTTTTTTTTTAAGTTACTGATTTTAAATGATGTTGCATCATAAAAAAAGACAAGAGCAGAAATGTTTGGAAGTTTTGTTTAAACACAAAACCCAACATAGTATTTAAAAAATTAAAAAGAGAACAGAACATGAAATAACCTAAAAGCCAGATCACACAGATATATGATCTTTAGACTTCCTTAAAACATACAAATTTAGAATTTTTTTTTTAAATCAGAAAACTAAAGCATCAGTATTCAGCCCCATTTAATGTAATGGATTAAAATATTGCAGAAAACAGCCTTCAGTTTGAGTCAAATTGAATTCCAGTATGGAAACAGAGAAAACCAAAGAACACACACACACTAGTGTTTAAAACGAGTCTGAGGCAACATTTTGAAAGACTCTGTTTGGTCTCTGCGTCTACTACATTTTTACTCCTAGTCAAAATGCTATAACTCTATCTCCTGGCCAACTACTGCCATCAAAATTGAAAAGTGTTTTTAATTTCCTGAAATACATAGAAAATGTAGATCATGTTTACAAATTTGTAGAAATAGCAAAATTATTATGAGCACAGCTATGATTATGAAAATGCTCTGACATTTTTCTTTTAATCTGGGTCTTGACTTTGCCCCAGGCTAGGTCATGTTATTATTATCTTAATCTGGAGGAGTTTAAAGCAGGACACAGCAATTTGTTTACAAAATATTGTTTTGGCAGGGAGACTAGTCCCTATCAGCAGATGAATAGAACTACATAGGATATTCATTTAAATGAAGCTATACTGGGTAGGAAAAAAAACTGAGTCCCAGGTTAGGTTCATCTACCAATAGATGATCAATGGAAATGTTTAGAGCAAAACATATTTAAAGACCTCTAGCTGCAGTTTGAGAAAAAAAAAATTCTCATTAAGGCAATATACAGCTGCACACTTTACTTTTTTTGATTTGTATGAATATTTAAAGAGACATGCATCATCTGCTTTTTGTTTTAAAATCATGCACTTTGATGTAGCTGTAAAAACATTATAAAGTGTATGGTTCCATGATGGAAAACTCCACCAAGGTTCAAGGGGAATTTGATTCCATGTGAATTTGCCTATCTACTATATTTCACAATTAACCATAAAGCTGCCATGTTAGCTGTCAGTAGTTGCTGACTAAAGGGGAAAAGGGTAAATGTAGAAAAAGTCTAGGTCTACAATCCAAAGATAAGAAAGATTATAACTTTCTGTTTTTTTTTATTGTAAGGCTAGCCTTTGGGGTTTTATTGGTCAGGAATCTACCTTCCGATTATGGCTGACCTGCACAGGTTTGAGGCTAAAACTGATGTGGAGTCATCGGTATTACAGAGAGAGCTCATGCATCCATTTACGTCTGGTTGGTCAAGGCTCTTTTTGTGTGAAGTGGCACCAGAACGCTGTATTTGACTTTATAAACAAACAAATAATAAAAAAAAAACGTTGTTTACGTTTCGCCAGCTTTCAGTCCAGATCTTTCTGGAAGAATTTCATTGGTTTAAGTGGATCTAGCTGCTCTGATGTAATCCTATCAACAGAACATTAAACCACATAAGTCATTTCCCACACCATATGAAGAGGAACATGAGTAGAGAGTTAAACCCAGGTCAAACATCCTGTAAAAAACTGTCGAACATTACACAGCTTTACTCGTCAACGCCTCTTTTTAACAGCTATTATTTATAAGAAGCTTCTCATAATGTGTCGCTTTAAAGTGGATAATTGATAAAAGGTTGAAAAAGGACCTGAATGTTTATAATTAAAGTAGATTTTGAATTTTGAATAAAAAAAAGAGAAAAAAGGCAGAAAATGTTACATGAAAAGATAAACTTATAATGTAAATAATCTTGAATGTTTAGAAATGTTCTTTTCTATATGTTGTTATTAAAAGACAGATGACAAATAACAACTGATTGTCTCATTTTGATCATAAATGTGTGTTTTATTATGCTAATTTAGTTTAATAGCAAACTACTTCATCTTCCTGTTGCTTTGGCCTCATGTTTGTATTTATACATATTTCTAATTTGTCTTCAACATCCAGAGCTTTCGAAACATATCAGCAGGCCTCATTGTCTCAACTGTGTGTTTTTAGGATGAAGCCGTCAAACAAAGGAAGGAAGTAGGACACACACTCACACACCCACCCAACACACCAACAGACTCGTACATGCAAAGACACACACAGGGAAACAAGAGCCGCTGTGTGTGACTGTGTGGGCCTCTGTGTGAGGGGAAGTCAGCTTCCTTCCTTCACACACTTCCTGTTGACCAACTGATTTAAAGGAGAAAAGGTTCTCACACAGAAACATTGTTTACAATTTTCTGGGGATATTTACAACAAACAAGTGGGTTGACATTAGGAAAACAAACTGGAACTAAACTCTTTCATGTATGTTTTTGTTTTTTGTTTTTTTTTTAGAAAAGAGTTGGGTAAAAAAAAAACTACAAAGTCTGGATTGATGTTATAAAAAAAATGATCATAAGATATTTAGCCTTTGTTAATGTTCTGATGAAGAGGTGGGGAAATATCTCAGTTCATATATGATGAAACACCTTGAAACAAACTTCTGCTGTTGCCAATAACATATTTTTTTCTACATAGAGGGTTGTAAACTTTAAAACTGTAAAGTTGTTTTTTTTTTTTTTTTTTTTATGACAGGATAATAAATCAGTCATAAAAAAGCCCTAAAATAATACTGTTTAATTCTTTTTCTGTTTTGATCAAATTAAATATATTAAAAAGTAAAATTTTACGACAGATAGAGGTCACGTGCTTATGGATTTACCTGTGGACACATGATTGATTGACAGGGCTTGGTGACGTCACTTGTTTGCTTAAAGCTAAGTAGAATCTCAAGCCCCCCAACCCCCCCATCAACCCCCACTTTGTCGTGACCTCAGACTCAGAGATGGTTACCATGACAACAGCAGCGCAGCATCCGCGAGGATGGAGCTTACAGACGGACGCACGGAGACATGACAGGCGGACTGTCTTTGTTCCGCTCCTGTCTAACCCTATCATTCACCTGAGCGCGTGTCCTCCGCTCCCATGGCGCGTGCCTCCACTCATAGCGTCTCCTTGTCCGCGCGTCGGGTCGCCAGCGTGTCTTTCTGTCTTTGTCTTCACCCCTTAAGAGCAGTCGAACCCGCACAAAGAGATGCGGGATGTGAGACACCGCGGGTGGAGGTGATCTCCGTTGGTCTGCTGGATGATCTGTCAAACGGTGTGTCTGTCTGTCTGACAGCGGCTCTGCTTGTTGTCCAGCATCAGCGGGAGGGGAGCCGGTTTCTCGCCGGCAGCCGCAGAACAATGTGTTTGAGGAGGAGGAGGGTGGATGAAGCGCTGGGGAGGGGGGGGTGAGGTATGGCTCATCCTGTCCTCTCCCTATCTTAAAGGGCCAGCAGCCTTTTAAAGAGAGAAGAGCGCTTTGCCTGTCAAATATTATCTTAGAATTTTGGAAAAAATTTCCAAAAATCTGACCAGTGTTTGAATCCCTGCTCGAATATTAAAAATAATTCTAAACATAAATTAATATAAATCAATAAATGTTTTACCAGTAAACACAGTATGTCTTTTTTTATATGATGCTCTGTTGAAAATTATTTTGAAGAATCTCTGGACTGGAAAAATTGTGAAAGAGCCATTAAGTTTTTTTTTTTTTTTTTCAAACCCTCCCTGATTAGCTTTTTGTAAACGAAAATTATAGTCATAATCAATTTCAATATTCTTAGAATTCATGGTAGGAGGTCAGAGGCTATAGTTACATCTTTTTTGCTTTTGATCCATGCCAAGGGCGTTACTATCAGTAAGCAGACACTGCAGTTGCTTAGGGGCCCTGTCGCTGACGCCTGGTGGGTCCCCTACGCAATTGTGGACTAGGATGTCTTTTTGCAGATGTAATTGTGCGAAACAAATTCTCTTTATCCCACCTGATACTAAATTAACTGCCAGGACCTTATTTATACCCCAACACATGGCAGATTTCAACAGGATGGTGAGCCGTTTAAACATGACATTAATAACAAGCAGACGGTGGTACTTTTAATTACTGTTAATAACTGTGTATAGTTCATTAGACGGTTGGTAAAAACACACTCATATGTTTCAAACCGCAAAAAAGATCTTAAAACAATAATGTATTTGAGTATTTTATTTTTTACAATACGACTTGGAATTATGGGTAATCCAGAGCGTAGATTTAAGGATGGGGTGTTGCTTACGGGCCTATTGTTGTGTCGTTACGCCATTGACCCACGCAGGTGAAGATAGACCGGTTGGTAAAAACACACATATCATTCTCACCCATTAAGTATTTTGCAAGGAGTACTTATTGGAACTGTAGCCTCAACTCTGTCAACAATTTGAAAAAACAAAACAAAAAAAAAACTTCAGGAGTTGATTTTATTTAATTTTTTCAGAAAGCATAGTGAGCTTTTATCAGGAATTCAACACATCATCAGCCTGTTGCCATTGGTTACTGTTTACCAATGGAGACATGCACAGACTTAATCTGAATGAGTGTTTTCCAGATTTTCTTTGTTTGGATTACAGTGTATCTGTGTGTGTTCAGGGGGGTGGAGCATTCTGGATTAAAGATTACAGTGTGTATTTCGCTGCCTCTGTGTTCTGTCCTGATGATGGGTGCCATATCCCAGCATGCGAGGATGGTGGTTACATCACAGATGTTAGTTCTTCCAAAATAAGAAAGAACATCACCACAAACTCTAATTGTTTGAGTTGTTTAAGTTAAACTATCAGTGTTTAGAATTTTGTAGTTTAAAAAAATAACAAAAGATCTAACAAATAATAAACAGACACTTTAACAACTTTAAACTTGGTGTTCTACTGATTAATGTCGTCAGGTTTAATTAAACCACATTGTATAGGGTTAACCATCATTCCCAAATATAAAAAAAATAAATCTCAAGATGAATTTTGGTTTGGTTTGAGTAAAATGTTCAGATGAAACCGTAACAAAAATCACATACTTCTTAATTCATCATGGTCATTAACACGGCAGGCTGAAACCTGGACTCTAGATCTTTCAATATAAACTCAGTATCACTAATAAGTGGTAGAAAGCATTGGTTCAAGTCACAAAAACAACACAAAATTCAAATAAATGTCTGATAAAGAGAATTGCAGAAAACAAAGAACATGCTGTTAAATACAAATAAAACAAACTAAGAAAATACTTTTGGATATTAAGACTTTTTTGAATTTATTACACCATATATTTGAATTCATTGGCATCTTAGTAGCACAAAACAGTCCTGTTGTCAAAATGTCAGCCTTTTAAAAATGATAACATGACAACAATGTGAGATAAGCAGTAAGTAAGCTCAGGAGTGTGGAATATTGATATGTGTTACTGCATAAGTGTGTAAGTGAGACAAAGAAGGTGTAGTTGTCATTTAGGTTTCAGATTTTTTGTTTGTTTTTGTTATAGCTTTTGAGTTTGTTGAGTCATTTCAATGTGATAAATAAGTTGGTCAAGAAACAGATTTAAAGAAAGCAAATTTAAAACATAAAAAGGCTTGTTTAAAGCCACTAGTAATCTTTACTAATTTGCTGTAAAATTGATCACCTGACCACAGTTGTTTTTGATCAAAAGTTCAATATTTTTGCAACTGAGTCTCTAGCTAATCAGGAACGGTTACCCTACCTACATTATCCTAGATCTGAGAGTTTATAAAAAATATATAAAAGCACCAAAGCCTAGCAGCTTATCTGTTTACTGATTCTAGGAATGAAACTAAAACAATTCAAATTGCAATACTTGTTTGAAACAAGAAATGTATTTGTTAAAAGTGTTCCACACTTTTAAACGATACTGCTGTAAAGTTTGTTGCAGTTTGGAACAGTAATATTTGTATCACCACACAAAATATCTACGTGCTGAATGCTGGCTGCCTCATCAGTCTCCCTTATCAGCAATGAAACATCACTCTGCTGTCTAGATTGAAGTAAATATTAATATTATTTATATAATATAACTATTCATATATCTTTTATTATTTTAAAACAAACTGCAAAACAACATGAAAAAAAAATATCAATACCCATTAGTTATTTGTAGCCTTCCACCGCCCAAAGGTTTACTTCATTTTCTTATAACATCCTTCACCTTGAGGGATGGGAACTTTTACTGTTCAGATCAGTTTATTCTAACTTCGGAAACAATGCAAACAATGTAACTGTCCATTTGTGCAAAATATTATTTAGATTCTGTGTGCTTTGTTGTTAAGTAAATGTTTTGGGTTAGTGCTCTCAGGATGTGGTTCTCTCTCTCCAGCTGTTGGTTCTTCTCCTGGAGCTCTCTAAGTTGCCTTCTTAAAAGCTCCACCTCCTCACGCACCACCAGCATCAAGTGACCCTTCACCAGATCCTGTGAACAAAGACATTTGGAGACAGATAAAAAATAAAAAGATAAAAAGTAGGAAATACATAGGTGAGGACAAGAAGAAAAAGAATAGCTTGAGACCAGTTAAAAGATGTCAAATATTCATGGGGGAAAAAAACAAAAAACTGCTGTATTTCCAAAATCCTGGAGAAAGTGATGCTGCATTGATCAGAATCTACCAGCAGAGGGTGCTGTCTGAGGCCCAAACAGCCAGAAAGTGATCTCATTTATAGATAATGAAGAATTATTGCAAATTCAACATTAAATCCCTGAACTTCTCTGTTTTAATGGAAATGAAACACTGTTAACAACAAAAACAAATACTCACCATAGCCTGTTCGATTTTACCATCAATCTCCAAAAGACTGGATGAGCTGCAGAGAGACAAAGGTAGGATACTTACAAGCAGAGCCAACAGGTAACATTGGTGAGATAAAGATGGCTTACATGCAATTGAATTATCTTTTATTTGTGCTAGAATAGAGCAACCATTTAAGGGTTATAAAAATAAAAAAGCTATATGAAGATTTGTTTATTGTGGACTTTATCTAATGAAATTACAGAAATAGGCTCAAAGTGTAAATGTGAAATCCCCCTTATATTGGAGCGACCTCTACAGTTTCAGCTATTGTACATTGTTAGATTTGAGCAAAGAGTAAAACATAGTCCAAACACATATATTTTAAAGCCAGGGTCCTTCAAGACAATAAGGTCATCCACTCCAAAACCATTTTTGATGCATTTTTGCATCATATATGTTGGATTTTTAGCTGTTTTAGTGGCTTCATGTGAAACCCTTATGCTTTCTTGTTTTTATGGATATACTGTCCTGTTTAAACGTGCTGCTATATCAAAGCTTCTATCATGTTATCCAAGCTATTACCCGAAGATTAAACGAAATGGGTTAGTATATAAAGGACTTCCAAGGCTCAAGCACAGATAAACCAGAGGAGGCTTTACCCAGGAGTACCCTCAAAAATAACTTTAACAACCTTCCTGACTAAACAAAGATTAAGTTTGATGGCATCATACTGTGAGCTTGCTTTAAAGTCTGCAGTACTGTTGCGGTTCACAAAGTAGATTAAATAAGAAAGACAAAAGACTATCTCCAAAGTGATCAAACATTTCTCATATCCACAAGAAACTAGTTAAAACTTTCAACACTGGGTGTTCTGCCATGATAATGCTTGATGATAGAAAACATAACTTGATTTCAAATGGATAAAGCAGTGTTATATCAATCCACTTGAAAAGACTCAACCATATCAACTAAAAAGGATGGTTAAAAAAAAAGCATCCTTAGATGAAAACAAACAATTTCTCAATTTTTCCACACATCTACTAACATTCAGATACAGTGAAAAAGAATAATTGTGTAATCAATCTCTATATCTTGTTAATTTTTTCAAATAATCCAAAAGTTCAATATTCTTAATCTATACTTCCACCTAAAATTTATCTATATATTACTTAAAAAGCATTTTATATTACACTACATATGACCGTTGATTATTAAGAGTCCCGCAAAGGAGATAAATAATCTAGCTCAGTTTGCTTGCAGTAGATACTAAGAATAAAAAAAAAAAATTAACTTAAAAGCAATGGCTGACAATAAGGTTGTAAAATATTACCCACGGTGGGTAACAACAATAAATGTTTATATAGTTCTCTGACAATTGGGCCTTTGTAACCCAAAGAAGTCAGCAACAAAACAGTGATACTGAGCTAGATAACTATTCCCAGGTATGGTAATTGGTTTGAGTATAAACAATTAATTCATATATGTGTGAAATTTGCCCTCTGATAAGTTCAGCTCACATTAAATTAGATATCGTCTGCACCATTTGATCCCCATGGTTACCTGTGGCAAAACAGCAGTAGTGAGATCATGGTATAATCAGAACATCGCCCATTAGGCGAGGCTCTAGCAGGAACTGACCGAT